GCCATAGGTTAGGCCATAGGATAGGTCATAAGGAATCCATTAGGCCATATGAAAAAACGAGGTTCCGGACACTTTCTGCCAGAGGGAATCCATTAGGCCATATGAAAAAACGATGTTCCGGACACTGTCTGCCAGAGGGAATCCATTAGGCCATATGGAAAAACGAGGTTCCGGACACTTTCTGCCACAGGGAATCCATTAGGCCATATGGAAAAACGAGGTTCCGGACACTTTCTGCCACAGGGAATCCATTAGGCATATGGAAAAACGAGGTTCCGGACACTGTCTGCCAGAGGGAATCCATTAGGCCATAAACGATGTTCCGGACACTTTCTGCCGGAAGGAATCCATATGGAAAAACGATGTTCCGGACACTTTCTGCCAGAAGGAATCTATTAGGCCACTTTCTGCCAGAGAGAACCCATTGGGCCAGAAAGTTCCGGACAGGTTCTGCTACGCAGAGGACATCCAGTAGGCAGATAGAGAAACGACGCTCCAGGCTCCTTCGGCCTGGGAACGCATAGGCCATCAGCAAACCCAAGCAGGCAGCCTCTAAAGGCTTTTTGAAAGACAGAAAGAAGATGAACATGGCTGGTGGCCTCCTTTTTGGTAGCATTCAAAGCTTTTCGTCCCTGCTTGTAAGTCGCTCCACGCGATCCACCAAGGAGTTCTCCATATGATCAGAGGAGGGCGAAAGCACAACAACATCGAGCCACGAACAGAAAGAAGATGAAGATGGCCCTTCCGCAAGGACACAACGCCAGAACTCCAGAAGACCACTGTGGCCATGGTTTGGAAACCTAGACCACGCTCCAGCAGACTTTGCGAAGACACATCAGTTCCTGCGCAGTATTGTCGCGGTTGGGCACGAGTTGGGCCAACACTTTGCGCACCGTTCATGCACCGCATCCTTGCCAAGTCCCTTCCAACCCCTCTTTAAGCTGGAACGCCTCTGCCCAGCGCTTCCCTACCTTGCAACGCTTTTCGACGAGCTTTGCGAGCCCATGTTCGGGGCTCAGAAAACAACAAAAAACGTAGGACACATGAGAGTACCCCCACAGTACTAGCGTGTCGTGGTCAAGCAACTTTCTTACTGGTAGGAAGCCGGCAGTACGACCGTGAGTGTGTCAGGCGATCGCACGCCAAGGGTTGATTGGATTTGTCCCCTCGGTGCGATGTCCTATGGCATCGGTTGCAAGAGCGGATTGCCTACCTGCGGCATGTCTTCGCACTTCTTTTCTGGAAGCACCCATGTTGTGGGCCTTGGAGTTTTTTGGATTGTGGTGTGCACGACCGTGACGGAACAAAAACAAGGGTTGTCCGTTGTCTGGCGAGACTAGAACGGCAACCGGAGCCTGGACTTGGCTTCACCTGTTGTTTTTGGGCAGCTCTGAGCGACGGCTCTTTGTGCTCCTGACCGGTCGCTGAGGCTCCGTAGCTTGTGCTGAACGGCTAACACCGGCAAAGCCTGTGCGCCGCGGCCCCTTGTAAAGCTTCGCTTCGCTGTTTCACCGCTTTGTAGTTGTTTGAATTTGAATTGTAGTTTCGCTTGTTTGTAGGGACCAAGTGCTACAGCCGTAGTCGACGAGGCCCAGTCAAGCCAACAAAAAAACATGTGGGAAGCTGGGCTCGGGTTGCACACTCGTCTATGGGAGCCTTCTTTTCCTGATAACATGTTTGACGGACGACATCGCTGATTTTCATGTTGGCCATTGCGCGACCCAAACTGAGCTCCTGGCTCGAACTGTTTCTCTCTTTTGTGGCGTCCGACATCACATGCAACAACGTCTTATGTCCACACTATATCTCACTTTAGTGTTGTCACGCACTTGCCAAATTCATGAACAACACGCATGGATGCATTTTCCTGTGCTTCACTGACATTAAATTTCTTTGCACCGCCCGTTGCTGCTATGATGTTTTTCATGAGGATTCTGTCTTTTCAGCTTGCGCTTCAGATGGCTGGTGGCGTTTCAAGCAACAGAAGCCGTTCTCCTATCTTTAGCCCGACTTCCGGAAGTTCGGCTATGCTCAAAGCAGTCGCTCCACGCCAGATCGCAGGCACAGGCCAAGCGGCCGTATTGCAAACGTCGGCCTACACCAAGGTACGTCGAGCAATGGCACTATTTTTATGGCCTCGACAAGTCACTGGCAGGATGAACCTGATGCGACAGAAACATTTCCAGTTGGCTGAAACTTTATCCAGTGAGTATCATTACACTCAGATGCAGTTTCTGGATTCATTGGCAGATCAGATATTCTCCAACCAGATTGGGCCGGATCTGCAGCGCAGTTTGCTCATGATTTACATCAACAATCAGCGGGAACGGCTGCGTCGATTGCATGAGCAAGGACTAGGACTGCGATTGATGGCACTTGAGCATGCGGTCTCTGACAAGCTATATTGCTTCTATCACCCAAACATTGGCTTTGATTTGTTTCCCCTTCTCTCTAGGAAGTGGATCTGGCAGTGTGCATGGTGGCTCCCTTGCAATAACTTAGTTTTTCGATCACACCTGACGTGTGCCATGCAGCCCTCTTACATGTGGCGACATGATTTGCAGGTAATGAGGAAGGCGCTACCGACAGACGTTTCCTGAAATGGCGCACCAATAGGTGGCAGATAACTCTAGCCAGACTGCGACGTGTGTGCTCGGTTTTTGAAGCAGATGTGATTGCGGCCTTGCTTCAGGTTGTGAGCCTTCTCACTCAAGTGAAGAGACATGCTGCATGCTTGATGGTTTGTCTTTGTGCTCAGCTTGTCATGAAGTGCGGTTTGCTGATGACTGTCTCTGCTTCTCTGTTCGCACGAGTGACTGAGCCCTTCCTCGCGCCAAAGATCGACCAGAAGGAGCATCTTTGGGCAGGACTATCAGCCAGACCGATGCTAAAGTGTAGCCTTCTCGACAGGATTCCCCGCTTCACATGGCATTCTCCCCCAAGGGCTCTGATGCGTGTGCGACTCAGTCGGATGATACAGAATGCGGTGGCATGTACACATGGCGAACTTCCTTTCCCATATTGGCTGCACCTCTGGGTTTTGTGGATTACAGTGTATGTTTTTCCCTGTGCCATTCTGTCCTGGATCAAGTTATCATATACGACTGAACAGCAGGATTATCTTACACTTTGCACCAGCCAGCTGTACTTCATTATATTTGGGTCTTTGTTCAATAGATGTCGAAAACGCCCCAGCACAATGATGTGCCGGCACCCATTCTGCAACAACTGGCGGCGCAAAGGGACCAAGAACAACGTGCACACAACCTGCTTTTTGACATCAATGATGAGTTTGCTGACCCAGTTGAGCCGGAGCGGCCGGTTGCACCTTCACCCAGACAGCGACCCAAGCCCTCTCAGGCACCACATATTCTTGCAGCTGTTCGCCAACGAGCATGGCGAGAACTTACAGAGTGGTACGAGTACATGGTAAGCCTGGTGGTCGCCAAGCTCCACACCTGCCTGGCCGATCTTCTTTATGGCATGGAAGTATGCGTGTTACCCGGCAGACTCTTACATGCACCAATGATGTTGGTACACAGACAGCTGCGGTTCCTCTCAGCCCTCTGCGGCTGTTGGCTCCTCGTACTTCTGATCCACCACCAGCGCCTGAGCCAGGCCATGAAGCCTGCCCCTCTTCTCCGGTGGAGTATGCAGAGTCCAAGGGTGATGCAATGGACTCTGATGTCTCATGTGGTCGCAGCGATTGCTCCAGCTCTTCTGACTGGATCTCACGCAGGGATGCTATCGCACGGGAGATCGTCAACTTTGACCTCAATCCATCCGACAATGACTAAAGAGTCGCTGCAGCTGGTATTCCTCCTGACGATCAACTCTGTACAAGCAGATGCTTTCCACGGCTGGCCTTGTGTATCTGTATATAAGTCCTCTTGCGTGCGACTGGCAATGGCGGCTGAAAAATCTATGATGCATATATTCAAAAGTACCTGTTGCTTACACTTTGTCTACTGGCTCCTTCGTTTGATTGCCATTGCTGCTGACGATCAGGTCTTCTGGTATGGCAAGAGCTACTGCCTGAGCATATTGCACTGGAGCTCTTATCGTGGACGATTGCCAGGGACACAGCACTCTATATTGTGGCAGGTGCAAGATTCTACTTTACGGCAGCCTGCTTCTCAAAACATACTTGGTTGATGCCTGCTTCGTGCTGTGATTCTGGGACAGGTATTGACTACTATTGCCTCATTGGACCTGGTTGTTCAGTGGCCTGCTTCTCATGCTATATCCAGTATGCTCTTGCTTCAGGTATTTGTGAGGGAGTTGATCACATGGCAGTTATCCAGAGCAATTCTTCGTCTGGTCTTGGAGGTGATGCCTACCTGGTCCTCCTCAGGTGTGTTACCTCAATGGCTGTATGCATATATCTGCATTGTCACATGGTGGCCCATGTATCAGGTCAGGTGGATACACAGTACACAAGTTGGTCATCACCTCCATTGGTGGCTGGCTCAGAAGACGATGATTCATCCGGATCAGGTATTTGACAGTTGGAAGTCGGCTTCACCAGTCACACTTGATGTGCCGTTGCTGCATACCATCATGCTAGTGTTGCTTCGGTGGCAGGATACTCGAGGAACGCACCTATTGGTCCTGGCCATGACACCTATATGGCTTTTTTCAAGTGAGTCTCCTCAGGGGGTGTCTGCACCGTTCTGTTGGTCAGCAGAACGACAGTTGTATCAGGTCTATTGGCTGCTCAGTGCTCGAATTGATTATCACTTCCTTTGGTGGGCGGCTCAGATCTCTTCGCTTGGTCAAAAGCTCCGCCTTGCTTCAGCAACTACATATCTGCGAATGGCTCTTTCCTTGATCGCAAGATTTGCAGCTTGGGGGTCTCAGTTCTGTGGTCATCTCGATGTATACCGATTCCTGCAACTATGGTTACATTTATATCATCTATGGATCACGCATTATACTCAGAATTGCAGACCACCCTTTTATGCAGACTTTTGCTGCGCATCCATTGCGCTTGGTTCGCCATGTACACGCCTCTGCATCCTGAGCCCAAGCGGACATGGGACGAAAGGCCGACCTTACCAAGGAAAAGGCCGCATGAGTTCGTAGAGCCTCCGACCAGAACGCCGCTCCCACGCAAGCGTTGTCTTCAACCCTTGCCTAGACTTCGACGCCCGTTGCAGAGACTTCGCAGAGTGGCTGGTACTGGGTCCATTGCCTCAGCTGCTTCAGCTGCTGCTTCCTCAAGGTCGGCATCCTTGGTTGTGAAGGAGGGGCACGGCCAGAGTAAAGGACATCGTGAGGGAGATAGACGAACTCCCAAAAATGCTCATAACAGTACTCTTCGCAAAATGTCCGACAAGGAGATCAGATCAATGCGGAGAGCCCAGAAGGCAGCAACCAAAGCGTTCAACAAGATGAAGGAAGATCGAGAAAAGAAGAGCAATGCAGCTGTTGGTTCGACTGTGGCTGAGCCTGTGGAGTCTCTCTCAGTTGGTTCACAGCCTAAAGCGCGACCTCGGCGAGCTACAACCGGGGCCCCGGTGCGGAAGCCGAAAGCTGTGCCAAAGGGAGCCGGAAGGGTTCTATAAGAGAATCCTTTGCCAAAAGCGGTCGATCTGATCATGCTCTTCCTGGTGGGACTGCCGGTGGCGATCCACCTGGGACTGCTGCTACTGAGCCTGTGCAAGATGACATCATGCTTCAGCGTCAACAACAGTTGATGGCCATGCAGCAGTACGCTTCCAGACGACGCTCCCAAATTCGAGAACAAGCATTATTGATACAGCAACAAGCTATGACCTCTGATACCAATACAGGTACAAACCCTGCTTCTACAGATGCAGCCTCTGCTGCTACTGCAGCTTCTACCGCCGAAACGGCTCCTGCTTCCTCTGCATATGTGAAAGGGTGGACAGCCTGTGGCCATCAGTCATCACTGGTCTTGTGCTGTGATCATATGAGTTCAGGTCGGCCACATTCGATATTGTCGCTGCCCCAACGCTCTTTGATTGCCAACTGTTTGGTACAGGAGGAGCTATGTACCCCATACAATTTGCGATCATTCCTGATCAGGTCCCCAGCTGGACTGGCACTACCTGCAAGGTTGGCGCTTGAGGCTTTTGCACTCATCAGCAAGCTGTGCTTTTCACACGAACGTTTGCAGCATTGGACGTATGCCTTCTATGATTTGTTCTACTGGCTTCTTATGCAGCTTGTGCATGCTTTATACAGTCTCGGTTCTCATCTCTTTATCCACTTTTGCAGTATTTGGACGACCACGCTTTTCTTTGATGAGCCTCCGGGTCCCAAGTCCCGGAACGACCCGCCAACCAGAACCAGGCGTCTTTTTGTATCTTCACCGAAACTGGTCTGGTTCCGTTTTCTTCTTTTCTACTTTGCTATCAATGGGGTCGTAGGAGCGAGGGTTGCCTCTGACGCCACAGGGGCAGGATCACAGGAGCCAAGTGCGACTGTGACAAGCGGCGGAAGCCTTACCACACGGCATGGGAAGAGAGCGTTTCACAGGGCCCAGCAGCGGGCACAGGCATTAGGGGGCACGTTTTATAAGGGTCGATGGTGCACAGCGAAATCGCTTAACACACATGGCCCCACCGATTCATTTCCCTCTGCATCTTCTACTCCCCAGCCTCGGAAAGGCGCATTTCGAAGTACACAGACGAATCATCACTCTCGCTCAATCAACTTTATAAGCTGGAACAGCAGTGGCCTGGGATCCGGAGTATTGCCAGAATTTTTGCTGTGGATCGATATGCTTCCAGCATCCTCCAGACCCCACGTCATTCTGATACAGGAGTCACATTGGCGATTTACCTCGGAATACCGCCATGGGGATTGGCTGGCTTTTCATAATGGTGTCTCTGAGTCGTCACAAGATCGTTATGCTGGTCTGGTCACACTTGTTCGCATCCCGGGTGTTACTCAGGATCATGTTCGTGTGCACAATATTCTACAAGGACGCCTGACACATGTGCGAGTTGATCTTCCGCATCGCAATCTTGATATCATTCATGTGTATCAGCATCCTTTGACCACAGATCCCAGCAAAACCACTCAGGACAAGCGAAGACGACTATTTCAGCGCCCAGATGCGGTTGTACAATCGATGCCGGGTCGCAACTTTTTGGCTGTTGGTGGTGACTTCAACATTGCTTTGCCTTTCTCCCCGCCTCACACGGGCAGTTCACTTATGACGCCTTATCCAATACAGCCTGAGCACACTGTGACCAACAACGCATTACTGCGTATTCTTGAGAGACATTCCCTGCAGGCGGTCAACACTTTTCATTGTCGGCCTTGCTACACGTTTCAGCATTGTGACAGTCGAACTCAGATTGATTATATTTTGGTTCGACAGCATGATGCCACGGCTCGTGCAAAACAAGCTAGACCCATTTATGATCAAGCTTTGATGGCCTGGCGAGAAACCAAACATCACCCACTACTGGCGGAATTTTCTTTGCCTTATACCTTATAAGTTATTCATCTAGGCCCGGGGGGCGTGACGCGCAAGAGGGTTCAGGGCATTTGGAGCATGGGTTCCAAGCCCTGGACTTGAAAATGATTTGTAGTAGGGTTTGATTATTTTTCCATCGATCAGTCAGCACAAGAACAACAGCCTCTCCAAACAAGTATCGTCCCTTCCCAAGAAAACGCGGCACGTTTTGGAACAAAATCGTCGTGAAAGCTACAAACCTACAACTTGTGATGTAGCCAACCCAAACTGCAAACCGCAAGCAAGCATATCTTCCTGACTTTGTCGGCTGTTTTATGAACTCGAATTCCGCGATTTCTCAGCCGCCGGGCCGAAACTCGATTGGGAATTGGGAATCCGAATCGCAGCACAGTTCAGGCACATGACTCACGTGACAGTGACAGCTTGACAACTTATCATCCAATCTTGCAAGAGGGCGTAGGCAGTAGGCATAGCCTAGCTTGCTTAAGGTGTTACATTGGATAAGCCAAGATAAGCCAGATCTTTTCGTTGTGTAGTGTCATAGTGCTATGGCAGAGCCTGCCATCTTTAGGCTTCCAGATCCTGGGGACGGTGAGCTTGAGGACAGAGAGTCCGAGTCAGAGGCCGAGGAAGCTCGCAGGTCTGCAGGTGCCCTGCGGACTGTTCGATATAGGGACAGACTTCGAAATGCTTCCCGTGCACAGGTTTTGTTTCTGTATGCGAAAACCTGTGGCGACGAATCAGAATCTCTGGGCACCGCTGCTGCAGGGAATTATTTGTTTTGTGTTGCTGAGCTTGGGGGAAAATGCATCAAGCCGCTGGATGCCCAAGAGCACTTGCAGCACCAAGATTCTTGGCGAGCTCGGCGTCAGAAACGTCGCGATCGAGATTTCGCCGCTAAGCAGATGTCCCTCCAGAACCAAACAACCCGAAACCAGATGTTGAAGTGCTGTTTGAAGTCTCTTTTTCGTTTCAGGGCAGCTGTCCAGTTGGGGCCTGCCCAGGCTGCAGTGGCAGGTGCCTGGTGCCGGGCACCTGCAGCTGCTAACCAGGGTGCGGTGACTCCTGTTCCTGCGATGCCCGCCTTGGCTGGCAGGTTGGCGGTTTTGCCTGCAGGGCAAGCGCAATGGGTTTTTCAAGCTGCTGCGCAAAGCGTCATCTTCGAAGCCGTTGCAGATCGCCAGGGCCTTTACACTTGCTTTGCAGCCGGACAGGCGGCGGAGCCTGAAGTAGGCACTGCGAGGCGTTACCTAGGGCGTCCTTTCTGGATGGTTCGCTTGCCACCAACTGTCATGAAGCATTTGATGGAGATAGGCAAGGAGTTCGTGGTTCCTGCTGGGCTTGTGACTTCTTTGGGGCACCAGTTGCCCGGAACCGTTCCTGCTGCGGCAGAAGGAAGCCCCTGTGATGGTGCCGACAGTGGTTCCTCTTCCTCCTCCGAGATGAAGAAAGTGCGCAGGCCGGCGATGCAAGAAATCCTGTTGGGAAAGCTCGCTTACAAGCTCAGCTCAACGGTAGGCATTCAAGATGTGCTTCGCACCGTCCTTCGAATGTTAGTGCCAGATAGTTTAGGTCCGGCAGACAACATGAACGTGTCGCGTGGGCATGTGCGGAATATCTTGCTAAAGCTTGATGCCTTGCATTCCTTGTCTCGCCGGTTCCTTGCCCCACCAGGTGGTGGGGCAGACAAGTCGCTGCGAATTGTCCGGTACATCAGTCCTGACAGTTCCCCGCAAGCGAATTATGATTATTTTTGTGCGACAGAAGAGTTGCTGCTCTATCGTTCCGACGAGCTTCCAAGGGATGCGGATGGAAATGTAGCTCCTTTCAAAGGGTTTGAACACCAGAGGCGTTCGATGTTGTGTACAACAATTGCGAGAGGACAAGGAAGCACAGCTTCGAAGGCAAGCAAGATGGTACATATGATTGCCGTTGAGAGTGGTGCGTCTCTCTTTGAGACGTATCGTTCGGAAGTTCGGGGGTTCTTAAGCGATCAAGGAACGGAGCGAGGCATAGCATCGTTTCCAGTCCGCAGTTGCTCTGAGGTCCAGAGTATTGTGGGCACTCAAGCTTTGGCGAGCGAGGCAATACAGGAGGATTTTCGTGGATTGCCGCTCTTTCATTCCGCTCTACACATACCGGGAACACTACACATAGTGTTTAACGCACTGGAATTCAGCTTGAAACAGCTTGAAACCTGGCCAAAATTCGAGAAACAATTGAACAGCATCACCCGTGTGTGCAAAGAAAAGAGTTACTCAGAAGTAATTCTTGTGAGAATGATGAAGCATGCGAGCCCCGAGGAGAGACGGTTGTTGCATCGGATGGACGAGCTCTTAGACTGGAGGTGGGATTCGCTCGCAAGAGTGCTGAAGGTTTGGGTTCCTCTATATCCCACCTTCAAGAAATATTGGAACCCAGCTGTTTTTGGTGGGGACAGCTCGTCAGTCACAATTCGAGCTGTGACGGAAGCGTTGGCAGACGAGTGCCATTTCGACATGGCAGTGTGGACGCATCAGTTCTCTGCCGAGGCCACCAGGCTGGCCCACTTTTTCGAGGGTTGTCACTGCCATCAGGAGCAGCTGACAGACCCAGAAAACTGGGAAAAGATAAACTGTTGTTGGAAAGGCAGGCGCTTGCCTTGGCTTGCGGTTGGCAATCTCCAGGGAGCTTTGCAAGAGGCCATGACAAACAACGAGATTAGTGTTCTTGCGCATCTCTTGTCTCGTTCTAGTGAAACTGCAAGTCGGATGGCGCACATGGCGGACACGTGCAACAAAGTATTTGTTGCCGTTATCCAGCAGAAGCTTGCGTATGCTCAGCAAGTACCATGGGTGTTTGCCGCAGCGTTTGCGGGGTATATGGGCGAGACTTGGGGCCGAGTGAAAAAGGTTCTTCGGCCACATCTTCAGAACGTTGACAACATGATCTCCAGTGGCCAAGTCGGCCTTCTAGACTCTGTTACACATGCTTTGTTTGGACCAACCGACACAGGCCGCATGCTCCGAGAATTTCTGAACTCGGAGGATGACGTGCCCCTTGATCGATGGCCAGCGTTGTTTTGGAAAGTACAGGAATATGCCTTTGTTTCTTTGTCCGAGCGACACACGGAGAGAGAGCATGTCGGTGTCAAGGTTGCAGCAAACCGTGGTCTCACAAAGGCTGGGCCTGCAGTTGTCTGCAGCCGCAAGCGCAGAGATCAAGTGTTGGAGATGCTGGAAGATGAGAAACAGCTCGCTTTCTTGGTCACCAATTGGCGCAGCAGGCGCCTTTGGAGTAGCCTGCTGGAGCACATGCTCACTCACGAAGAGGTTCGACTTATGGAGACGCCAAAGAGGCTTTCCCGCTTGTGCGGGTATAGCGAGGAAGACCACTTCAAAGATTGCGAGGACTCTGTTCGTGCTGATGCCGTTTACCGCCAAGCTTTGAGAGATCAGACTTTGTTACTGGCCGGAAGCTTCAAGCTTCCGAGTGCTTCCTACCAGGTAGTGAACTGGCTGAAAGGCCATTTGGCGACGGGCGTGTTTTTCAGTGTGTCCACGCATGTCTTTGAGCTACTTGTCGACAGGGGTCGGAGATGTGAAGACCCAGCCGCATCCTTCAGAACCGACGTGCTGCTGTCTATTCTGCGAGCCGACGTACACCCTCGGGTAAGTGATCGTGCTTCGGTTTTCTGCTCGGTGCTGGATGCCAGGCCAGAAGCAAGAACGGATGCTCGTGTTTCGCGACCTGCTGCACACATCACAGACCCGAAGCTAGGCCGCCGCAGCTGTGTGGTTGTGCAGCGTTTCCACGACGTGGTGTTTCCCAGGGCGTGCACGGCCTTGGTGGAGATGTGCGGGTGGCGTGCACGAATGTGCGGATCGAGGTTCTCGACTTGGCACGGGTGTGCACAGCAGAGAACTTGAAAGCCTTTTGTGCAAACTGTTTGCTCTGGCGTGCTATGCCTGCGGAACTGGCCTTGGCTCTGGGAGACGAGTCCACGCAGCCAGGTTTGCTGCAGGAGCCGCAAGTGCAGAAACTTCCAGAGATTGTCTTAGACAGCGATCCTGCCTCCTTGTTGAGTCGACCGCCTCCGGATCGGCATGTGGAAGATGCCCTCGACATCCTGCACCCCCCTGCCCATGTCGTGCAGAATGCGGACGACTCTGCGGTGCTGCAGGTCTACGGTGCTCCGTGTAGCGACCGAGAAATGCAAGCTATCAAAGAGTTGCTGCGAGCAAGGGCCATCGGCATTGAATCTGCTGTGTATGCCACAGACCTTGAACACTTCGATGCTGTTGCACTGGAAGGCTTGCGTGGCCGAGGTCTTGTCATCTGTGAGACTGATATGTTCTCAGATGTATCCGTCGCCTTGACGGGCAAGTTGACCTACAGTGCAAGCTTGGTGCTGGCACGGCCATTGTTGCTTTGGGAGCTTGACCAAACGACTTTGACTCGAGGCCAGATGCCAGGCCGATCAAAGTTGGAGTTAATTCGTTTGTTGTTTGTCTTGGGCTGGGAGCCAGGGCTGGGCCGGGAAGCGTGGCATCGCAAGCAGGGAGAGAAACGTCTTCCAGATGACGTTCTAGTTTGCAGCCTCCCCTTCCTCAGAGCTTTGATGCTGAGTCGGCTTATATGGGAAAAGCCCGGCAACTTGTCGGGCATTTACTTGAAAGGCCCCCAGCAGTATTATGAGTTCTTGGTGGATCAGGACGATCTCAGCAGCTTGCGGGATGCTTCTGCAGAGGAAATCAATGCTCGGTTCGCGCAGAAGAAAAAAAGACCTGCTGGCCGCATCTTGACAAGAGATGCGGCTACAGGTCTGGAGCTTGACCCAGAGGCTGATGATGCCGAGTTAGAAGAGCTTGTGCAAGAGCTGCCTGAAAAGCTCATGCAAGCAGAAGAGCCGCAGCCAAGCATGGCCAGCGGTGCTAGACGTGTCGCTCCTCTAGAAATCGACTTGGGAGGCGGTAGGGCACAGGTAGTGCATTTTGACAATTTCACACACTCCAGCGGTCAGCTCCGAGGATTCGCCGCTTGCGAGACGCACATCTTCCCTGATTACAAGATGCTGCCACCTTGTGTTTGTTCCCTCAGTTCCCGTTCCATGTTTGTCGATGCCAGAAATGGGCATACTTGCACTGATACTCAGAAATATTTCTTCCCCGAGGCGTTTAGGTTTCCCCAAGACACGGCCTGCATCATGGGGCGCGCGCGCCCAAAGTTGTTTGTTTGCAGGGTATACTTCTGTGCGATTGACTAGATTCTGGCATGAAGCGGCTCCCAAGGCCCCAATCCTTTTTGGGCGATTTAACTTGTCACGTCAGCTTACACAAAGACCTCCCTGCCTCAGTATCGTTATACACCCTCGGAGAAGGTCACACTTGGAACAGCAAACGCTCATTGCAACAAGAACAACCGTGTTGTGGTTTCAACATGATTCAAGACCACATAGCTAAGGATTGCAAAAGACTTGTGTGTGTGTGTAAGGAGAGTGTGCTCTCTGATCGAAATAGTTAGTCGCTGACATGCTCGCCAGTAGCCTAGTCCTGATTCGCGCGATGCTGCCTGGCAAAGCAGTGAGAGGCAGCTACGGAAACTTGAAGAGATATGCCGACGATGCAGCGGCCATCGAGCATGCGTGCAAGAAGCTCTGCGCTGCGGCCAGCGCAGACATGTCAGCTTGAGAGCAGCAAAAAGCGGGAATGAACTGTGCGTGCGGTTGCGGCCCTTGCCATACAGACCTTTTTGTTCGGTTCCCCTCAATTAGCGCACCATTTGCCAGTGATGTTGTTGTGTGATAGGATGAATGCGTGATGGAAACTCATATGATCGACGGCATCTATTTATACTACAGTTATCCGAAAAGAGCGCACCCCTTGCAGTAGTTTGTTTGTTTGTTTGTTTGTCGGATTTCGATCTACTGGGGCTTAGCGGAAGAAGAAAGCGCCACTGGTTCGAACGGGATCAAAAGAACTTTTTTGGTATGATGCAAGCCTAGCTGAGGTCGAAGATGAAAGCAAGTTTCGTGCGGCATGACACGGCCAGATGTACCGCAGCTTTTCGGCTGTTTACTGTAGCGTTAACGACGTTTGTAGGGCGATGTGGAGGTGAGCTAAGAAGACATATCTTTCCTAGATGGAACATGGAATATACCTTGATTCTGTCATACAGACATGTTTCCGACCGAATGGTTCCATCACTATTGGAAGACATGCCTTTGAGGGGTGTGTATTACGTGCGAAGCAAGAAACCCCGGCACGCGCAACAACGGCAAAGCAAAAGAAGTAGTAGTAGTAGTAGTAGTAGTAGTAGTAGTAGTAGTAGTAGTAGTAGTAGTAGTAGTAATAGTAGTAGTAGTAGCAGTAGTAGTAGTAGTAGTAGTAACTATAATAATAGCAATAAAAACAAGCAACGACAGCAAAAAAACAAATGCTCCCCCGCCAACAGAGCGAAAAAAGAAACGCGCTTCGGGGAGACGACAGCAAAAAAGAGCGCCCGGGCAACGACAGCAACAAAAAGAAACGCGCCCCCGCAACGACAGCAAAAAGCGCTCCGCAACGACAGCAAGAAAACAACGACAGCAAAAAACAAACACTCTTACCAGCCCCTAGCTGGGCGATAGCGATGCTTGAATCTCCGATGCCCGCAATCCGCCAAAGGGTTAACTCGTGGAGCCTTGCATTCTGCTGCCTAAAACCTTCAACACCAAATCTCCGAACTTGTAAGTCGTGTAGCCGACAGCTCGCAAGCTTCAGTTTCTGAGCCTTGTACAAGTCGTAGGGCCAGCGATTGGAGTTTGCGCTGGCACCGGAATGACCGCTGCTTGTTTGGAACGCGGAACATGCTTGTTGCGCAGAGGCGTGGGGTTTAGGAAAAATAAGGGGAGGGGAGTCGGGGAGGAAGGGGGTGGGGGGAGGAGGGGAGGGAAAGGGGCGGAGGAGGAAGGTGGGTGGGACTGCCTACAAAGAGCCAACATTCGGTGGAGAAGCCGAGAATTCACTGCCGAACCTTGGGGCTGATCTACAGGTTTCCATTTTTTACATTTTCGGGTGGGGTTATTGGGGTGGGGGATTCAGTGGTGGGGAATAGAGGGAATCTGCATCCGAATAGGAACCTCTGACCGCTTTGGCCGGGGCCGCGGCGAGTTCCCAAGGCCCCCATATCATAATACCCTTATAGAACCCGTATGGTCACCCTTATCAGCCCCTTGAGAAGGACCCACCAAAAATAGTATAGCTCAGAGAGCAGATCCATGGATCGGGGCCAGCCACCATTAGGGGCGGATTGGACCAAGTTTTCCGATAGAATCAATCCGTGACAGTGGCATTTAAAAGAGGGACGCCCAGGGAAAGCATGAAGAGCCCTGGTAGATGTTCCTTTCACTTGATCAAGGCCGCCAGGCTGCAATTTGCCAGAAACTGTGGATGCTCACCTTGCCCTCAAGCATAAGCCGAATTTCGTCTGTTGAATTCCCTCGTCAATCAGGCAGCCTTGCGGCCGCACCAAATTCGCCAATCGTGCGACCAATGCCGCATGTTAAATGGGGTTGTATAGGTTACTATGAGGCTTTATATAGGGTGTTACAAGACTTTAATTTTTTTTTCAGGGTTTATGGTCGTGGGGGGTGAATAATGTGTATAGTCGAGAACATACTTATATCCTGACATACTCATAGGTCATACACCCCAAGATCCTAACAGTTGATACCCCGCTATTCAGCCCAAAACCCAAATAACATCCCTTTAAGACCATGATTCCAGGTCGTCCAAACCCTAAACCCTAAACCCATCATGAAGGCCCCTATAAACGTAGACACTTTCGTCGGCCCTGAAGGCCTTTGTGAAGCGCAGCGCTCAAAGAGCCTGCCAGGCTTCGCTGCCCAGCACCTGTCTTTCAGGTGAGTTGAGGTCACCGACACAAGTTCGGAATGCCCAAAATCTTGGACACGCTTCTGGTTTATTCTTTTCTCTCAGCTGTGCATCTGCTGTTTCAGGATCTGGTGGGGCTGTCATTTGTTATGCGCCCAAACGGCCTTCGTAGAAGAGGCCGTTTGCTGAGAAGGGGGGCGTCAAGGCGAGGCTGAAGTGAACTTGGCCTGGCCCCTGTGCATGAATTCACGTTTTAGTTTTGGGCGCGAGTTGATGCACACACTGGCAGGGGGCCCGGCGATACCCGAAGCCAACAATCCGGACCATATATCTTAGCCCTGCACCTTGCCCTAACCCCTAAAGATGTGTGCCTCTCAACAATCCGCACGGTTTCTGCCGAGGGCTGCTTGTTGCATCTTGCGAAAGAATGAAAAGCAATGCGTCAGGTTTGTCAGTGCAGCTCTCTGCCGCTGTCTTCCTGCATTGACTACCGCCTTGCAGTTGAGAGATTGCTACACTCAGAGGAACGAATAATGACCATTACTACAGCTGCGAAGTATTGCATACTCTAATCTACCCAAAGCCTTGTCCAAGTCATCAAGGCCTCTATAGCATCTGTCGGAGCTGCTTTGTCAGGTCTGCCACTTCACCCGCCTCCGGAGCCGGACCCAACCTCAGGGACCTAAGGCGGGAGTCCTTCTCGGACACCGCTTTGGGAACATCTTCCTGTTTTGCAAGATGGCAGGGAGCGGTTCATAGGGGAGGACCACGTGGAAGGTTGTCGGGTGTAGAGTCTTCCTGAAGGATCGACGATCATGCAAGAGCAAGCCGTATCTGCTGGAATCCTACATACTCAAACCCATTGCATCAATGTCATGACTCTTCGGGGGAAAGCATTGGATACTCCGGCTTCTCAGGAGGTTCTATTTCTGCTCGGAAGACCCTCAACCCTAAACCCTCAACCCTAAACCTGAAACCTTAAACCCTAAATCCTAAACCTACAGCGATGAACCAGGTGAGATGAGGCAGCTCCGGGTGTCCCAGGGCCTCAGAAAATGTGTGGCGCTGAGCATCTGCATGCTTCGAGTTGACTGTTGCCCCTATACCCTAAACCCCGCACCCGAAACCCTATATAAACCCGAAACCCTATTGTGGCTGGGTGTCATAGTGGGTTGCACGTGGTGGGTTTGTTGTCTGAGACTCGCAGCTCCTGTCTCCTCGACTCTGCGGCTTCGCCTGTTAGTAGATCTAGGAGCGGCACCGTGGAAGTTTGAATAAACTAACCAAACCACTTCATGGCTATCGAGACACTAGCATGAGCCACTACGAGCCTGTTTTGCACGGGCGGTTCCTTGCATCGCTGCTGCACAAAGACAGCAGCATGTGAGAATTCATCCCAGCGCCATGCAAGAAAGCACAACCAGCACCTCCAACAGATCGGCTGCCCGCAGTGGGTTCGTCAGTGTTTTCAACGCTGGATTCGTAGACGTCGTGGACGTGGCCTTGGATGCAACCACCACTGTGGGCACCTCGGCGCAACATTTCTTCAGAGGAAGTCTTGGCAGCAATGATTAGGTTTGCCTGTAATTGAACGGAAGCGGAATTCCTAACCCAAGTATCTCCGAAGCCCCTCTAGGCTTCGGCTTAGGGAACTGCTCGGTGGAATCTTCAGGTATAGAGGCTCCGTGCGTCCGACAAACCCTGTATCCCTAAACTCTACACCCGAAAGCCTAAATCCAAATCCCCATATTAAACCCTACACCTGATACCCTAAACCCTGATTACGAACATCCGCAACTGTTTTTGTGTGAAGGAGATGTGATAGAAGCAGTGAAGATGCGCCTGGCCTCTTGGTCCAAGTCAGCTTCTGTAATCATTTTAGGCTGTGGGGTTTGAGTTTAAGCTTTAGGGTTCAGGGTTCGGCATTGGGGATGGCTGGGGAGCAACATCCCCAGAACCCGCACAATGCGGTTGACTTCGGTTGTAGGCTTGAGCTGGTAGAATTGTGACTCCCAGAGTGCTAGCAAACTGGCATTTCATTGAATATTATTTTTACACTAATGTTACGGTTTTGATATGATTTCAAGGATCCTTCCGGTTACGATTATGATACGATTCTGACATGGTTTACGATTTGGATACGGTTTGGATACGGTTTGGATACGATTTTGATACGTTTTTTTATACGATTTCAATACGATTTCGATACGTCTCCAGCCTCCCCAAGGACTGGTTTTGATGTGTTTGCTAGGTTTTCGATATGGTGTTAAGACTTGCAGCCGAGCTGCCTTCCGAGCCGTGAAATCGTAACCAGAACCGTATCAAAATCGTAAACGGGAAAACCCCCTAAATCATAAGAAAACCATAAGATAATCATAAAAATAATTCCCGGCACATACCCTTAGTTTGCTATGTGTGGTAGTCACAATGGTAGAAGAAGCCCTGCATCCTGAACTGAGCTGAACACCCGTTCGACGAGACACGCCTGCATCGTTTGAGCAGACCTTCATTCGCCAGCAGCTCTTTCGTGGATCGACTCATGCATGCAGGCCGACGAACCCTGGCATGGCAACGTGCTGCTTTCTTGTGGACCTCGACAGTTTACAGCTGCAGACCAGTTGAGCAGCAGTGAGTTTCGGAAATGGCACGAAGAAATCTTCATATGTTGCTTATGGGCTAGATCTTAGTGCTGATAGGCTTAGGGAGGTTCTCGGTTGTGGTACATTTGGTGTGCTGTCTCAGGTTCGGGTTGGTGCTGGCCAACTATTCGCGGCTACATTCGTCCAAAGACCCCCTGGAGATTCTCCCAGAATGTATCGGCGGTAGCATGTAGTCGAGACAAACCCTTCTTTGTCAGAGTCCTGCCTTTCCCTGCGTTCCGGCACCCCACGCCATTATGCATCCCAGGCAGTGGCATCACCATCGCACAGATTCAAGCACTTCTCGACTTCATGCACGGTATGGTCTCGTTTTGGACTGGTACTTTCGGCGACGAACGTGGGAGGCCACTTTCTTATGAGATCTTCAACCTGCGCCCCGGTGCATGCTGACATCGCCTCTGCATAGATACCCCAAGCCATAGTGCCGAAGACCCGTCGTTCTTGCATAGTTTGCTTAAGAACCCCCAAAAAATAAAAAATATATTCCTTATAGGGATAATATAGGGAGTCTCATTATTATTTTTTGGGGCGGTTCTTAAGCAAATAGTAGTTAAGTACCCCTGAACCCTAAACCGTGGTTCAGCCCCTGAGCCGAGGTATCATGCCGACTCTTGGATCCTTAAGCCGTCAACGGTTGGACGCCGTGGGCGAGGCTGCAGCTACGTGGAGCACCTTGGCGAGCAAAGAAGATCGCGTCTCCTGCGACAGAAGGTGGCCAGACACCCGTGTCGAAAGCTGCCTCCCGCGATCCTGCTAGCAGGCATGAGTCGGCATGAGTGGTGTTTTCGTACGTTTTCGCATCTGAGGCTCATTGCTGAGACCGTGGCGTCTCAGAGGCCCAGTTGGTTCGTGTCCCACGCTTGGCTGGAGCCAATCACGTGAATGGGTTCTTGTTGGAGAACCCAGCTTAAATTACAACAGCAAGGGCTGTGTAGGGTGCTATAGTACTAGTAGTATTAGTATTTGATACGCCATTCAGGAACGCAAGTTACCACGACAAGGGAAATGGTGTGTAGCTCACTCCTCGTAACTTAGCTTAGTAGCTTGAGCACATAAACTGAAGAACTGTCTTTGTTTATGTAGACATCCTCGACTTTGAGCCCTAATGGCCCAGAAGCAACAACCAAGGTTATTCGTTCGGTGCCTGCGCCAGCACTCGCAGGTACGAGACTAAAGGGTTGCTCCAAGTGTGAAGCTACAAGGTTTTGTTATTGTCAGATTTGCGGTTGGGTTTGGTTTTCGGGGTCCAGGTTTGGGGTGTCATGGCTTCGGGTCGGCCGTTTACGGTTCAGGGTTTAGGGTGATGATGCATGATTTTGCACGATATTCTGGAAAGCCGACCGTTAATTTTCAAGGAGCACACTGCTTTGATCAGGTCCGAGGTCTCAGTGAAGACATCGCTTACTGGGTCTGTGCCTATGCGAACAATCAACATGTGCCTAGGCTGCACAAGCCCTACACCTTAGATGCTGAATACCCTAAGCCTTGCAAGGCTTATACCCTAAGTCCCAAGCACCCCATGCCCTAATCGATACCTGCTGCACTGAGGAGCTTGATGAAGCCATCCCCGACAACCCTTGCAAGACATCATTCTACCTTGCGATGATGCGATGCCATGGAGTTCTTCTCGTCCTCGATGACGACGCCACGCCGTTCTATCGGATTTGGTGCCACCCGGCGTTTCTTTCAGCATGTTGGTGTATCGTAGCCGTCGTGGGGAAGCAGCTTGTTTCCCTTATCTTTCTTATCTACAAGAGTTTGATGCCAGCTGCAGTGGGAGGTTGTTTCGAAGAAAGCATCGCGGCACCTCGGCGAAGTATCCTTCTAGCTCCGATCTGTAATAGCTTTCTGGCGTGCCTTGCGATCCGAGGTCAAGGAGCGTCATTCGGCATGCCTTCTTCTCGATGTTGCTGCGACCAGCCGCGATGCAGCCCATGTACTTACGGACTGTTGCAGCGGTTCGTAGGTTTCCAGGAACTTGCTGCATGCCTCTACGCAGCGTTGCTGATGCTTGCAGGACGGGTTAGCGGACAAGGAGGCTTCTCTGCTACCCCTGCTCGGCCTCCTCGCTAAGTCCCGGCGCGAGAAGGCATTCCCTTCAAAGCTGCTGCGGCACGGGCTGCGCATCAATATCGAGCAGGCACGTGTCTCCCGGGACGAGGACAAGACACGCATCCTCAACAGTATTGCGTTTCCGCGCGCCAAGACTGTGGAGTTGAAGATGGACTACCCAAAGGCGCACCAGAACTACACCGAAGTTAACCATGCACTGGCAGCACACTTTGCCTTGGCCAGCCTCCACAGCTGTTATGCGCAGGAATCTCGATTGGATGTGGCAAAAGATGACTCAGCCAAGTGCAGTGATTGATCTTCAATTTGAGGCCACAAACGGCATCTAGCTGCCGACAGCACGAAAGCTACGTTTGGGATCCTCTACTTGGAGGTTCATGGGTAGTTATACGTAGGGTTATAATTACAGTAACCGTAGTTATAACTCATATTAGGGGACTTCTAACCCCACTTATAACTACCCATGAACCTCCAAGTAAGCATCAGTAAAGTTACGAGTCTGGGGATCCTGATGTTGTTGTGCTCCGTGCTCAGAGCCGAGCCTCCACGCTGAGGATGAGGACGCCACGCAGTTGCTTCAGGCTTTGCGGGCAGACGCGCAGCGGGCCACTGTGCATCTGTCCCTAACCAGCTGCCAGCATTTCCGGGAATCGCAGCTTCAGGCGAGGCTATAGTTTCCAGAGCTCGATGGACTGTTGGCAACTTTGCATAGAACTAAGCCGTTCATCACGGGCTTAGGGCCTGGGACAACTACCGAAACGCGGGAATGCAGCTTATGTGCTGCATCGTGCTACAAACCCCTGTCATGGTGTCAACAATTCGGGTTCCGGAACAAGGGCCCGCAAGATGTCCGCTCGTCAGCTTTCCCATATCACATTCTGCGAGTCATGAACCGCAAGATCATGCGGATCCCTTCAAGGGCCCCGAACCCAAATCCTGACTTGTCAGGAACTGCCCTTATCTGTCATACACCCCCTGTACTTGTATGGTCGCATCTGTGCACAGTTCCGGAACGATGCAAATTCTGTTCCCACAGTCTAACTTGAGCCCGAGTTCAGGAGCCCTGACCCTCCAGCCCAACTCCCAAACACAACACTCGACAGCCCTACACAGTCTGTTCAGACAGGCAGCCTAAGGACCCAGTGCTGTGCAGAGCGCAGGCCTTGCTGGCCCACTTGCCGGCCAAGCTCCTCGACCTTCGCCTGGATCTGTGCCTCACAGGCCTCGAGGTCTTCGATGCAGGACATGGCATGATAGGGGTTCTTAGTGTTGGTTGTATGCGGGTTCTATGGAGGTTTGCACGGGTTTTTGTAAGATTTATCGGAGTAGGATTTCAGCGTCTCGGGTTTGGATTAGGGCTTTTGGTTATTGCGATGCATGTTTAGTAGCTTAGGGTTCAGGGTTTGTTTGTGTTTTTGGGTTTGGAGGGCAGGTTGGGGCCTGTTCGAGTTTTGGTTTTCAGTTTAGGATACTGCTGATGCTTCTGAGTGGATGTGTGCTGAATGAAGATCCGTGCAAGAACGAGCACCTTCCAGGGAAGCCTTGGGTTTAGTTGCTTTTTCGAGTTTGTAAGCTTATGGGGTTGGTGTAGGTGATAGAGGTTAAGATAAGGATGCGTACGAGTGTTTTCGGCGCAGGAATCTTCCAGGGATGCTGCCCACAGTTGCAGAAACTGCAGATGAGATTCGCAGGCGGGGCTTACGTCTGGCTTGTGGATGCTTACGTTTGGCTTGTGGATCAGCCCGTCCTACAGAGGTTACAGAGGCTAAGCTACAACACTGCGCCGGGTGGGTTCTGATAGATTAAGGTGGGGAACTAGGGCTTAGGCATTAGGGTTTAAGCATGAAGTGTACAGAGATTTACAGGCAAGCTGCGAGTGGCCAAGCTCGAGGCCTTCTACGGCCCGTCTTTGTGCCATTTAGAGCTTTGGTTCAGCAACCTCCCACAGCTCTGCGACCTCCAGCTGGGCTCCAAGAACCAATCACTGCTCCCTGTCCTTTGGGGTCTCCGGGGTTGAGGCTTTGAGCTGGGGATCCGCAAGTGGTCGAAGAATAGCAATGGCAACTGTCTAGGATGATCATACTGGGCATTTGCATGCAGAATGCTACTAAAAAGAGTTTTCTTCAATCATAACCGTATATTGTGTAATTACCATTATCCTGGGAATGGTAGTAGCAGTAACAGAAGCAATAGCAAGCACAGAAACAGAGCCCAGTCATGGTCAAAGTCATGGCCATGGTCATAGTCACAAGCATAGTAATATCATGGTGATTGTCGTAGTCGTAGTCACAGCCACCGTCCTAGTCATACTCGTAAACATAGTCATACGCATAGGCATAGTGGAACTAGCACTAGTAACCAGGCAAGGAAGAGTAAGAGTTCACTATAGCAGTAATAGTATTGGAAGTAGTAGTGGTAACATAGTAATAGTAGCAGTAGTCGCAACAGCAAAAGTAGCAGTAATAGTAACAGCAACAGATAACAACAGAAATACGAATTCCAATCCTACTACGAGTACCAAAACGATGCCAACCATAGATTTAGCTTGTTGCTGTAGTTGTAATCTTTGATTTAAAGGTATAATTACGGCACGAGCGCTAGCACTGGCGTTAGCAATAGCGAAGCAGTAGTAATAGCACGAGCAACAGCAACGGCAACAATAGTAGTAATACTTGTGGTGGTAGTCATGATGAAATTCATAGCAACACTAACGGTAGTAGTAATAGTAGGATTTGCAAGCACGGTGGAAGTAACAATATTCATGATGGTGGTAGCGAATGTAGACTGTAGTAATACGTTGTCTCACAAGTGGTTTGCTGATAAGACTCTTGGCCGGAATGAGGATCCATGAATCTGTAGACAAGCACATCCTCATGCTTCCCCAATCTTACAGCCCCTGTAATCCCCCAAACCCTTAACCTTTCCACCCGAAACCTGCCCAATCCTTAGACCCTAAATCCTAATCGTTAAAACCCAAAACTGTTGAAGTGCGAGGCTGGATTTGCGCTTGGAGGATTTGGTGCTCCACATCCAGGGCTGCCCGAAGGTGCTGCAGGCTTCGAAGCAAGAGTTGCCCCCAGGCCGCTTAGAGGTTTCGGGTGAAGGACCTTGGGGTTTGGACTTTAGTGTATAGGATTTCCCAGATTCTAGGTTCAGAATTTTAGCGTTCGGGGTTTAGGGCTTCAAGTTTGTTTCTGTGTGACCGTGCAGTTCTCACCACCTGAAGCTTCTTCGCTGGACTCAGGTACAACGTTGCCCTGAAGCTTCAAAGACGCAGAAAAAGCTTGCAGATGTGGCTCTGCATCGAGGCACTAGCTGGGGAGTGGGGTTCTGGCGATTCGTGTCCTGCAGATGATAATGCCCCGCCGTGTATCAGCGCCCCTCCATCGAAGGGCTTGGGCGGTCTTTCCGGAGATAGGGAACCAAGGAAGACTGCACCTGACAGGATGTGGCAACATGGAGGACGTATGCAGAGAGCTTGGCCAAACGCGGGGCAATCGCCATCGAGCAGCATGTGTCAAAGGCCTCCAGACTGAAAGTGGGGAGTTGAAGATCGCAAGATGCCCATACCCAAACCTATAACCTCATGCCCATTAATTAGGAGGGTTATAGTGGACTGCCAAAGCACCAGATCACCTACATCCTCTGCTCTGCCGAGGTGCTGCTAGACAGGTCGCAGCAGCAACTTGAAGGTGGCATGCCCATTGAGGGCTTGTAGGGCTTTGTGCGGTCTGTTGGTGGTTGCATCGAGGTTGCACATGTTTTCATCAATTTCATGTTTGCTTTTTTTGTTATCTTATACAGACTCTCAGAGACTTTCGTACCGTCAGTCACACAGAACTCGGTGGTACTTCAAAGCCAGCTTGAAGCTGTGCTTGGGGTTCACTTGAAACCCATGTAGCCATGATTTGGGAGCATATTAGTTAGTCCTCCAAGTACAAGTATGATCAGGTTCGTGACCAGTCTATGACCCCGAGTTATTGGAAGAGAATTTAGTGGCAACAGTAGCAATCGTATTGGGTCTGTTCTACAAATAAATATAGGACCCCCCTGTGCTTGAGCAGAGATAAACGAGTTTTCGTAATTGATACTATACATAAACTTGCCCAAGCTCTTGTCTTTTCAATACTGAGAGACAGAGGAGCTTCCTTTTGTAAGCAGATAGATAGGCTGTTAAGCTTCGGTTTTGCACATTCAGAGACTACGGAGCTGTACTAGTTGTGTATGACATGCTTGCGCATTGACGTTCTTAAGTTCCTAACGTACCCTGCATCGAATGAAGCCAGAGATGTGGTTAAGATCAACTGTGCTCAAGAGGTAGTGGAGTTGCCTCATCGTTGTCCACATCATGAAGAGATATGGAAGTGGTTCCACCTTTGTTATGAGGCTACGAGGAGAAGACAGGGGCTATTTCACGTTGCATTGCCCTTCCCAGGAGCCGTCTGATTTCTTGCTAGTAGCACAGAGCAAACGAGCCTCTTTATGTTCCTTAAATGTTCAAAAATGTTCCTTCAATGAGCCACGAGTTCTTCTGCTTTTGGTCAAGAGAAGCACAGCGAATGTTTTTGAAATGTGAGTTGCCAAAGCGCCTTCAAGTCAAAAAGTGGGAAGATAGATAGGTTGCTTCTATATTTATTATGAGAAAAAGGGTTATGTCTGCGTTTGATCGAAGGACAGTGGCAGGTCTCTGTGTTGTTGCGTGCTAGCTGCTAGCAAGTCACAAATAACCCTGTAATGCTCCTTTTTACAGGAGTTAGTTCTGCTGTGGTTCGTGGTATGAAAACAAGATCAACTAGTGGTGTCTTATTTGAAACAAAATTGTGAGCAAAGGTGTTTCACGTGAGTTGTCTTTGTCCGAACCATAACGCGATGCAGATCTGCTGTCATGGTTCTTTCGGTGGGAGCAGTCCTACGTTTTTGGCATTGCCAGATTGTAGGAACTCTCTGGGTGTTGTCACTGCAAAGGGATGAGGGGGAACTTCTTATGCGTGTCTGCGTTGAATTAGAGCAATTAGGGCATTTCATTGAGAGAAGAACTGTTGGTTTTACTGAGTGCAGAACACTGCTTATCGAAATGAGAAAGAGCTTTCTGGCGCCCAAATGATGTTGTTTAGCCGCATCATGGGGAATCGCTTACAGATGGAGCCAGAAGCCTGCAGAGGAACAGTCGGCATGGACGATGGTATGCATCATTACCTAACAAAATAGAGGCTTCTGCTAGTGCTTGTGCGAGTGACAGCGCTGGTGGTAGTAAGAGTGGAAAATTCGTGCTCGTGACCGTAATCGTATGAACAGTAACCGTCATAGTCATGATTATAGTCACAGTAAGTTGTAGTTAAGGATACAGTCATATTAACAGGAGTTGCAAATGGCCATTGTACTGGTACTAGAAGCCGCAGCAGCACTGGTGAGTAAGAGTAATAGTACGCGGAATCGTGGTTATTGTAGTAGCACTTGTACTTCGTGGCAGCAACAGCGATAGAAAAAGAAGTAGTAGTGCTAGCACTGGCAACAACATGACAACATGACAAGAAGCTCTGCGATACAGACAGATCAATCAGGCTTGCATCTGACTGCCGAGATCGAAGTCGACGAGGACTTGGTGACTTTGTTTGGGACACTTCAAGCATTGTGGAAAGCAAGCCATTGTTGGCCCAGGTTCATGAAGCCCAGCAGTGAAGCCCAAAATCCTGCACAGTTTATGGATGTATGGCTCGTGTTCAGAAAGTGACAGCCAGGACCGTCCGTTTCCGTGCAGCCACAGAGGTTGCACCTGCTTCCATGCCAACCTGCCATTCGCACGAATAGGAAGCTTTTTACGGTTCCTACTGTAATGACTGGTACCAAAAGTACTACCATTGCAAATGCCATTGGGATGCTTGTTCCTTCTGCCATTGTCACTGCAGTTCTTTGTTTTTGCTGATGTTTGGCCATTAGCATGTTAATTAGTGTTGTCTAGTATTCCCGCAGATACGCGTGTTAGTTTTCGGGCGTCTCTGTTTCTTGCTGTCCAGGTTGCCGACGACTACGACTACTATTACTACTACTACTACTACTACTGCTACTACTACTGCTACTACTACTACTTCTACTGCGACTATTACTACTACTACTACTACTACTACTACTACTACTACTACTACTACTACTACTACTACTACTACTACTACTACTACTACTACTACTACTACTACCACTACCACCGCTGCTGCTACTCCTACTGCTACTGCTACCAACTACGATGTTGTTCTTCTACCACGATGGCTACGTTGATGGTGGCGAGAAGAGTCAGCGTCATGTTCATCATTGGTATAAGTCGTCGGTCCGAATTTTGCAACTGCAGAGACCAGGAACGGGTACTGCGACAAGCATTGCCTCTGCCGTTTCGAGCGGAAGATTCTGGAAACTATCCAAGAGGTGCCTCGCTCTCTGACAGGTTCAGGCTTTTGGATTTCGGCTTCGGGCTGCAAGGTTAGGCCTTTGCGATTGTCAAGGGCATTAAGGAATTGAGGTTGGGGGTTGAATGGTTAAGGGCTTCGGGGATGTAGGATTCAGGATGGTTGTAGTGGCCAGTTTTTGATGTGACGTTTTGTTCTGGTCTGCCCTTGGCCTGCTCGTGAGGTCTGGCGATGGTTCGAGCTGGCGTTGATCTTCTTTGTTCAAGCGACTCTTCAGGAACTTAGAATCAGGTACCCGATAATGCCATAATGGGTTTGAAAGTGTATTTCGACATACCAGTAGCATTCCATTACAGCTTTTCGGATTGCGGCATCCTTGAGTAAGTTCTTTAACCACATGGAGGATCAGGGGATCCAGTATGTATGCAGACAAAGAAGCGCAGTTCGGGTTACAGTAATCGGGAACTGCGGCGGTCTACTTCTCTGACCTTACTTTCTAAGTTCCTGTTTTTTTCAACCAGAGCCGAGGCCGCAGCGGACGTCCGGTCAAAGACCTTGCTGCTCCTGATGATCCTCTCTTTGCGCCTCAGTTCCGTTTTAGGCGCTATATCTACTTGCCAATGGTTAAGAGCCTACGTTGCTCTCTCTTGCTCGGGTTGGAGATAGCGGGGCATTTCATCCCCGTCCAAAGACAGAGGAATGAGTAAAGGCCCTTTGCGGTTCGTGTCCTATCCCTAAAGCCCTAAAAACCGAAACCCCAAGCCGTGAGTGTGGTTCGTGTCTAATCGCCCAGGCTGCCCGTCGTTTGCATGAGCTTGGCGGACTCGCTCGGGTTGTCGGCCTCCCTGGTCTGCGCAGTGTCTAGCATTCACGATAAGGTCTTCATTTATAGGTTTTGTATACCGTCTTTAGAGTCTGGCTTCTATGTTCCCAGAACCGGGACATGTGGTGTTCCCCTGTCACAAGAGCCCTAAACATTGAAGCAGAACAATCATACCTGAACATAACCCAGATGCTACTGGTGCCGCTGCTTGCGAGTGTCTCCTACGCCAACCTCCGCTTCGACCAGCTGCAACGGGCGGCGCAGGAGCTTCTCCTGGCCTCGGAAGGCTTCTACTCCCAGGCCATGGCTTTCTGGGGTCCCTAGTTGTAGCTAAGGTGGGATTTGGGGTAGGGGTTCAGGTAGGGTTTAGGGTTGGGGTGGCCGTGGGGTTTTGGGTTAAGGACCTGAGGCCATGCCAAGCTCGACGAAGGCGCTTTGCCGGGTGGTGTTGAGTTGCTTCAGGGCGGTCATGGAGCCTCTCCGGAGGTACTGGGGCCTGAGGAGTGCTTGTCCGCCTCCGACACCTCACTGGTCTTCGGTGCTGCTGTGGAGGAGTATGCATCTGTCGAGGAAGTGCGTCAAGAGCACGACCTGACACTCGACCAGTCATAGTTTCCTAGGTTATAAAACGGAAGAGGTCATGCTAGATTGGGCAAGGGCGGGTGATCGGACCTGAGGAAAAGCAGCTTTCTGTGCGCGCGTCGCCACCTTCTCAGCTTTCAGCCTCTTGGTGTTGGATGTTGGCTTCGTCAAATGTGTGCCCATCCACCATAAGCTTTGAGACTTCCATCTTCATGTGACTTTGTTGCCACTTCCTGCAACAGATGCGATCTTCCTGAGGAGAGTTGTGCAAGCTTCTGTGCGGGCCGTTGCTGGCACGCATGGAGCGGAGGCGCAGCTCAAGAACGTGACCGATGCTGCTGCAGTAAAGACTGACGGTGGAGACGGTCTGCCGGGCCAAGGCCTTTCATTATTGTCGTTGCTACTGCTGCTGCTGCTGCCAATGTTGCTGTGGCAGTACTATTGCTGCAACGACCACTGCTGCTGCGGCTGCTGCTGCGGCTGCTGCTGCGGCTGCTACCGCTACTGCCACTACTGCTACTACTGCTACTACTGCTACTACTGCTACTACTGCTCCTGCTGCTCCTGCTCTCCCGCTCCCACTCCCGTTCCCACTCCCGTTCCCGCTCCCGCTTCCGCTCCCGCTTCCGCTCCTGCTCCTGCTGCTGCTGCTGCTGCTGCTACTTCTGCTGCTACTGCTATGCGTACTTCTATTGTTGCTGTGTTTTCTGTTCCAATGACTATGACTTCTGTTCTCTTCCTTTTATTGAGACCATTTGTTGCTACTGCCACGACGATGAAGACGAGATGTTCAATGTTCAATTGTCAAAGCTGTTATCACCATTCATGCTCGTATCTAAACACTGTCTTGCAGGAGCCCGCTGTCGGCATCTCGACATCCTCTACTGCGAAGTCCACTGCAACGGACTGAGCGAGGCCTGTGGATGATTGAATTCGAGGGTGTTGTGTGGTCATAGAGCCTGCGATTCTGATTGTCCAGCCTCCTTGCATCTGCCTTTCGAAGCAATGTGTACGCTGATCACAGCCGAACGCACTAAATCGACAATCCGAAATCCAAATCACGACACGCAGACCCTAAACCTCCCACGCCCTACACCTCCAAAATCCTAGACCCTAAATCCTAAACCCTCACACCCAAGCCTGAACCCTAAGCCCCATACGCAGATAGCATGTGCACAGCCCACTGGAACAGCTCTGCACACGCCTCAAACCGATGACACTTTGCGAGGTCTCGAACTGGAGTTTTGCCCCGGGACCCAATCAACCCACAAACCGCAAAGTCGCAGCCACGCGGCTAAGCCCTGCAGTCCTTGCAGGTAAGGGAAGTCTGGCGTGAGCTTCGTGAGCGCTTAGAAGGAGAAGTTTAGGGTTCAGGTGCAGTGGCCTGGGGTTTAGGGCTCAGGGCTAAGGGTTTAGGAAGTTTAGGGCTTGGGTTTGGGGCTCAGGGCTGTTATAGGTTTCAAGGGTCTGGGGAAACCGAGAAGTCTCTATATTAAACACTCAGCCCTTGACCAGGAGTGGAGCAACCGATTAGAATTGCAGCATTGCGCGACGGCTTCGTGCAGAAGGACAGCACTCGACGATGTTGCGAGGTCGTCCTATCCATCCAGGGCCCTTGGCCTCAAGCGTGTGTAACGTTTGAAAGTGCGTCATATCCTTTTGAACTTAGAAGGGACATTTCTCTTTCCGTGATTTTTTGTGCTCCAAACCGCTAACCTGAAACCCGAAGTCCGGCAAATATTGACATCTTTCTTCCACAGCTGACTGGTTCTTAGTAGGGAATGGGGCGATGTATCCCTATAGTAGTCCCTATATAGTCTCCAGTAATGGTCCCCATAACCCAGTCCCCCATCCCTACTACTAACCAGACAGACAGGCTACTTGGCAACCGTTGTACTTCTGGAGAAGTCTCTGGCGCAGGCAGAGGTGCATTTAGCGGGCCTCCGTGTTTTGGCCGAGAGCTTCGGGCTGCTGGCAGATGCTAGGCTCCTTTTAGGGAAGTTACTTGGAGGTTCGTGGCTAGCTGTAAGTAGGGTTATAAGTCCGCTAATATGGCTTATAACTATACTTATCCTACTTATAATCCCACTTATAGCTACCCATGAGCCTCCAAGCAAGCTTTTGGAGTTCAGGCTTCAGCTACCATAGTAGGTAATATGTATGGTGGATGATATGAGTTCCTTGGAAAGGTATCTTCAGTCAGGCTCCTTAACAAGATGTCAGGATGCTCGGCCAAAGCCATCAGGAGCTATTCCGGCGCCGGCTACCACGCAGCACAGTCTGTGCCTGGTCATGGCCTTGGCTTTGGTGAGGGCCACGGCGTTGCTCTGCAGCATGTACTTCGGGTGTCAGTACCTGATCCGCTATTCGCCGGAGTTGCATCGGCATCTGCCAGTACAGCTGCGACAGCTCCTGATGCTCGGTTCTTGTTAAGGCCCTTAGTTTAGGCTACCATGCTACAGAAGTTTTTTTTTAACTACTTGCAGTTTACTATCCCGTACACTTTAACCTATTGCAAGGTTCCTTAGGAACTTATGCAAACTTGTACAACCGAGCATAAACATATTCATAGCCTATACAACCTTACCAGGAAGATCGGCACCACCGACTCAGACTCCACGGAGACCAGGTGCTGGCTCTCTGCGCTAACCCTCAGCCTGCCCTACGCCGTCCTCGTTGCCCTCGCCTTAGCGACCGTTTTGTATACGTCCCATAGGCAAAAACGTAGGGCTTTTCAACTATAGACGCTTCCATAGGTTATGGAGACCAAGGTCCTCTTGGCACACGACTTGTGCCGCTTGTGCAAGCGCCACCAGGCCCCAAGAAGGCCAACGCCTTCACAGCTCATCTACGAGCGCCATTTCGGAGTGCAAGGAGGTCGCTACTACACGATCAAAGTGGCGGTCTTGCAGTTCATGACAGTTTTGCTTCAAGCACTGGGAAAACTTCAGCTCCTTGGTGGCATCGTGGCATTCAGCTTGCAGCAAGATGCTGCTGCATCCCCGCTGCTGAAGCAATGCTTCTGGCTTTTCTGGGGCCTCTTGGCATTGAATGCTGCATACCCAAGTCTGCTATTTGCCCTTCCGCATTTGCCATGGTGCCGCTACAGCTCTGCGGTCATGGACGTTGTCCTGGACATGGGCTACACAGTGACATACATGTTGATGGTTGCAGCTCGTCTCTGGTGAGAACTGAAGGATCGCGACAACGATGGCTCTATATATGCCTTGATTTTTCTTGTTTCCGGTCTACGGTTTGGTAGATCATGAAGGCATTGTCCCAGTTTCTCTCGACTTCGAACTCTTCCGTAGCTTGCGAGGTGACTGCCATCTCCGAGCTCGCCTTAGAAGCCTCCGTGCAAGGGAACTTCGGCGAGGAATCGGAGCTGGGGTTCAGCAACCGTCGCTTTGATTCACAGGACTTCTGCGAAAATGTATGCGGTATCGGGTGTGCTCATAAAGGACTATTCCTTGAACCAGAACAAGGAAGGCAGTGCATTAAGCTTAAGCAGTACTCCTTGAATCGGAGTGAGGCATCATCTTTATCCTTTAGTTGCGTCTCGGGATGTGCATCCCAGGCATCAGCCCGGTCTTCGCTTTCCCGACAGGCCTTCAGTACTTAGCCGTGTACGCCGGCCCCGCGCACGTCTGCTGCGCCTGCCGCGCGGTGGAGCGCGGGAGCTTTTCACACCTCTCCAGCACCCCAGCGCCGCAATGTGATCCCTCCACTCTCCGATGCTTTCTCCGCCGGCTCATCCTTGCCTGCTATTCGCCCGGGCTCGTGGTGATGCTAGTCTTGCTCCTGCGCTCACACGACGTCTTTCCAGGCCACTCTGGCGACTTTCGCTGCTTCCCGTGCCGCTGCTCGGAGATAGCCGAGGACTCGTTGCGTTGCCGCTGTGCTTCCATGGCTTTCTGGTGCGAGTGGTGCATACCAAGCCTGAGTTCTTGCTTCAGGAACGTCTTGCTTGGAACGTCACATCCGGGCATGTGCCTGAGCCGTTTGTTTTTGTGCCCTCTCCCGACCAATGCTTTGTTGGTTTTAATACCGTAAGGCCATGCATGCTCCATGCCGATGGTTGCATCACCAGCGCCTCCGTGTTTCCGCCGGACTTCAATGACACCATGTGCTCGATCGAGGTCGCTCCGAATATCGGCGGTGCTATCCATGTGGTAAACTTCATCACATCAAGTGACGGTGCCTACATGATAGTCAACGGACAGAGATACGGTGGAGGCTATTATAGCAGTCGTCCACATGGAGTCGTGCCCCATGGGAGTATCTTGTGGAAATCGGCCGCCCGGCATGCATTTCGCCGAGAAACTTTTCAGAGCTTCTCGCTCAGCCCTGCCTGCTCCTGCTGCTGCCGCTGCTGCTTTGGGCTTGTGCTCACGTGAGGACGGGTGGTCGGGCTTCACACTTTGCCCAGCACATTTTCTTCGACTGGACAGCTGTGGCTTGGCGGCAGCGCTGCGCCAGGAGCAGCTGCTGCTCACCGGTCTCCGTGCAATCGCCCCAAGTGCATTGCACACGCTTTCCGGGCGGCTTCGGCGCCTCTCCCTCACGAACAGCTCGATCCGATCGCTGCCAGGTCATCGCTTCGAGCGCCTCGGCGGCTTGCAGGCCCTTGACCTAAGCAGATCGGAGCTCACGGATATGCACCCTGATTCATTTCGTGGGCTCACTGAACTTCGGCTGCTTTCGCTCAGCCAGAACAAGCTCACGAAGCTGACCGACGACTTCCTCCGACATCTGCCCTCCCTGGAACAGTTATTCGTTGGAGGAAAAGTCTTCGTCAACAAACTTGGCTATGCTTATAGCCGTATTATGGGCAACCACCTCGCAAGCCTGCCGGCTATTCAGCACCAGCGGTTGAAATATTTGGACGTGAGCGAGAATCGTCTGGCAGAGCTCCGGACCGAGACTTTTGCTAGGCTTCCGGCGCTTCGCACACTCGATTTGGCCAGCAACAAGCTCACCTCCCTCCCGGAAGGCATCTTCGCCGGCGTCACCTCTCTGGAGGGGTTGAGCTTGGAAGACAACCGGATCAGTTCACTCGGGGCGGGTACGTTCGCAAACATGACGGCTCTGAAGACCTTAACTCTACATTACAATCAACTCAGCTCCTTACCGGAAGGCATCTTTGCTGGCCTCACAGCCCTGGAGGTGTTGAACTTGGAAAGCACTGGGCTCAGCTCGCTCCCGGCGGGGTGCCTTCGCGAACTTGACAGCTCTGCAGACCTTGAATATTGCAAACAATCAGCTCAGCTCCCTCCCCGAAGGAATCTTCGCTGGCCTCAGAAGTCTCCAAGAATTGAATCTGGAGGCAAACCGGCTCAACTCACTTTTGGCGAATGCATTTGCAGGCCTGGCAGCTCTGAAGACGTTGTATTTGCACTACATTCAACTCAGCTCCTTGCCGGAAGGCATCTTTGCTGGCAACACCGCTCTGCGCGTGTTGAACTTGGAAGGCAACAAACTCAGATCGCTCCCGGCGGGTGCCTTCGCGAACTTGACAGCTCTGCAGACCTTGAATTTGGCAAACAATCAGCTCAGCTCCCTCCCCGAAGGAATCTTCGCTGGCCTCACAGCGCTGGAGACATTGCGTTTATCGTCCAATCGGCTCCGCTCGATCTCGAGAGACACTTTCACTGACCTCGCAGCTCTGCAGACTTTGGGTTTGGTTTACAACCAGCTGAGCTCTGTCCCGACGGGTGCCTTCGCTAAGCTGATGTCGCTGCACACATTGTATTTGGGCGGCAACCGGCTGAGTGCTTCCTTGGTGAATTGTGTAGAAGCTTCTTTAAGTTGTGAGAACTGTACATGTGCGGCTTCCTAGGAAGGCAACTCTTGCCAAGACACCACCGCTTGCAAATGGCGCCCAACGTGTTGAAACAACCGATGAGACCTGAGCCCAGCCTATGTCCCACGCCCGGAATCAACATCGTCCCTAATGAATTGAGCAGGAATCTCATCAGGAATCATGCATGAACAAGCCCTACTTGTATCTGCTGCTCAAAGGCACTGGGGCTGGAATCCTACAAGCTCAAATCCATTGTTGCAGGATTGCCAGAGAGCGTTCCTGCTCAGATGAACCAGCCGACGGCAAAAGACAGCTGTTGAAGGGAAAATGGGACGCTGCGTAACTTGATAGGTGTTTATTGGGTAGGTTGAGCTGAAAGAGTGTGAGATGGAAGGAATCTGCGCCTCTTTGCAAGTGAGAGTTTGGGCAGCGTGTCATACACAGCAGTTGCTAAGATATTGGACCTGAGAGGTGACCGAGAGGGAGACGCTTCAAGGAACCCTTTAAGGGGGCCTTAAAGGCACCTCAGAACCCTTCCCAGACCCCCGGGAGGATCCAGATAGTGGATCCCCTAATCTGGGGCCCTTTTCTATTAAGGGTACTTTGTAGGAACGCCCATTAAGGGATCTGCTTTTTGGATCCTCCCCTGAGCCCTAAACTCTAAACCCTAAAACCCTATAGATCCCTTAAAGGGACCCTTAAAGGAACCCCTAAAGGAACCCCCATTAAGGGCTAGGGGTCTGGGTTAAGGGCCTCCAAGAACCAGGCATGCAGCTCTTCGGCGGAGGCTGAGGCGCTGGAGAGCGTCAGTCGGGTGATTTGCTCCAGATGGGTTGAGGGTTTTGGGGTTTAGGGTTTAGGGTGTGGGGTTTAGGGTTTTGGGGTTTAGGGTTTAGGGTGTATGGTTGAGGGGTTTGGGGTTTAGGGTTTAGGGTGTAGGGTTGAGGGGTTTGGGGTTTAGGGTTCCTGGTGGAACAGGAAAGCTTTTGGACTGGGTTCGGGGCTTCGAGATTGGTGTCGGGCGAGGGGTTTAGGTCTGGTTCAGGGTTCGGCTTAGAGCTTAAGGCTTAGGTCTTGAGGTTTAGAGTCTTAGGGTTTAGGGTTTTAGGGTTTAGGTCTGGGCCCATCGTGTTGGCTGGTGCGTATCTGCTTATAGTATGTGTAATGACTTTAAGGCTTCCGGAATCATGGCACTAGCAAGACAGACGGACCTCAGATAAAGGTTTCGGGCTCAGGGTGTGTGGAGGACGCCCCAAACTTGACCTCTAATTTTAGGAAGCCACCCATAGGAGTGCTAGGAATGTGTTGAAGCGCAGAAGCCATAGGCACCGGAAGAATGGCCGGACGAATAGAACAGCACGCGAATCAAGATGTCAACCCAATGCACTTAAATTCCGACCTTTTCTGAAAAGTTTAGCCTCAAGCCGTCTTGCCAGTCATCCGCGCAGCCATGCTTCGGCAACTCCTGCTGCCTTCGGTGGTGCTCTTCGTGCTAGCTGAAGGCGTCCAGACAACATCAAGCCCTCCAGCGTAGACCCCGAAACCCTAGACCCACCACCCAAACCCGACACCCTAGAAAAGAGAACGTCTTAGCCGAAATCAGAAACCCCATAAACCCACCAAGTAAACCCGACACCCTAGAAATGAGAACGTCTTAGACAAATCAGAAACCCCATAAACCCGCCAAGTATACCTTGCCTGCCTGCACTCAACGGAAACAGCAAACCGAGCAAACCTCTGAACCACCCAACAGCACTAACCATCCCTCAGAAGCAAGGACCCTAAACCCTAAACCCTATACCCCCGACCCAGAATTTAACTAGCGCCAGGTGGTCTAGAGATTGTGGAGGAAGAAAACCCTAAAGTACAAGCCAGAAAGTTGGAATATGATTATCCTAAGCCCTGTATGGTAAATTATAAGGTATCCTACCCTGAAGCCATATTCCAACTTTCTGGAGTTCCAGTAGAAGCCAGAAAGTTGGAATATCATTATCGTAACCCCTTTAAGGTAAACTATAGGGGATCCTACCATTAATCCATATTCCAACTTTCTGGAGTTCCCCTTAAACCCCAAACCTTAACAGGTGCTCCTCAATGCCCTTTTCAGTGCGTGCCGGGTCTTGAGAAGATGGGCGTGGGAGTAGACCTGGCGTTCTTCACCCCCAAGGCGAGTCTCTAGGGTTTATGGGAATTCGGCCGAGGGTTTACTCGGGTTTGATGGGCATCTGCGGCTGTGTTTTGAAAGGTGTCTCCGTAGGATCTTGCGACGTCTTCACTGTGGTTTTGAGGGATTTTTTTGCTGAGTTGTTCGGGCGTAAAATTTGGGTTTGTAAGATGTCGACAAAAGGAGCCTTCCTGACCAGGGTAGAGTTCTAGTTTTCGAAGAGATGTCAGAGCGTCTGATCGAGCTTTGTAGACAAATTTCACATTTTGAGTCGCTTTTGTTTCTCAACCCGTAGGGTCAAGGGTTTACGGCTGTTGCAGCTGCTGCTGCTGTTGCAGCCGGTTTGGACATTCGCAACTGTAACTGACGTCAAAGGGGTATCTCTAATGAGGCGCCTCTTTGTCTGTGGAGCACGAGTAAACGCTTGTGGTTGTCACTTGGAGGTTCTTGGGTACTTAAAAGTGGGGTTATAAGTAGGATAACTATAGTTTTAGTCCATATTAGGAGACGAAGAACCCCACATCATGAACCTCCAAGCATGGAAACACCGAGCTTGTCGAGGCCTTAAGAAACAAATAAACCACATCCACGGAAATAGTTAGTTAGTTTTCCACAGCTCTTCCTGGCATTGCCTAGCATTTTCTGGCTTTCTGTAGTTCTCGGGGGCTCCTGTAGTTCCCCTGAGCTTTCCGCAGAAACCATGAACTTTCCTGCAACTTTCCTCCGGCAGTACAAAGAGACACCTCATTGAAGGTTTACCTCGCATGTCCGTATGTGCAAAACGATTACGCAGACCATATTGCCTCTAGCCAACAAAGTAGGTCGCTTTTCAGTTATTACCTCCTGGTAAAGAACGACCGCCAGGTGCAGCAGCAGGTGGTACCTCAGAAGATGCTGAAGCAGCGAGTTGTGAACATGACGAACTCGCGAGCTCAAGTGTGGACAAACCCTTTCGTAAACCAGACCTATGGCGTGTGGGATCAGGTGCTAGCTTCCTGAGTGGTATGCTTTTTCAAATTTCTTTGGTCCCCCTATTATTAAAACCGAAGAAGGAAAAAGGGTATCCGTGTTATAACGGGGCTGCTCAGGAACCTAGGGTGTCAGGATCATTGAACACTTCGGGGTCTCGGCGCTCTGGGAATTTCTTGGGGCCTTAAGGCCTTTGCATGTGGGCCTTGGGTCCAGGATTCAGGTCTTGGGCTTGGGGTTCAAGCTTCCTGGATGTAAGGTGTCGAGGTGGGCATCTGGGACAAACCCGAAATCCGAAACCCGTAAGCCCTAGAGCCTGAACCCGAAACCCCTTCTGTAAGTCCTAAACCCTGGACCCTAACGGTGGATCAGGTGTCGGAGCTCTTTGTGAACAGCCGTTCGACCCGCGATGCCTTCAAGTTCACCTTCCAGAACGACTTCAGCTTCGAGGTCCCTGTAGCGGTCCCCTAAAAAAAGGGGTTTCTACAGGGTTCTGTAGGGGGCTTTTCCCTATAGATCCCTGGATTCTAAAAGGGTTACTGTAAAGGTTTCCATATGGGCTACTACAAGGGTTTCTACAAGGGTTTCGATAAGAGCTTCAGCCTAGAAGACTGAATAGTTAGTAACACTTCCCTCAAGCTCCTGACACTCTGTTCTGGTAGTTACAGGAAGGCCCGCTAGTGCTAGCGCTACCGCTACTGCTGCCACCTCTCCTGCTCCGCTATCGCTACTGCGGCTGCCACCCAATCGCAGGCCTCAAGGTTTTGGGTTCGAGGTGCAGTATCCCGTAACATGCCAAATCCTAGGACCCTGAAAGCCCCAAGCCTTCAACGGCAAGATCCGGAGCCTACAACATCTAGCAAATCCCTACGGAATGCGAAACATCTCACCAAACGTCCTCTCGGAACCTCCAAAGAAAGACGGTAAGCCACTCAGCACCCTAGGCCACCAGAATCAAGGTCCTGTCAACAGTCTGGGTTCTTGTTGTTAATTTTAACTTAAGTTACCATAAGAAGAAAACATAAGAAAACCATACTGTTTTCTACAGATCCTTATTATGGCAACTTAACTTACACTTACCATACATAAGATTTTTTCCTATAGATCCCTATTATGGCAACTTAACTTAAACTTACACTTCTTAAAAGAAAACTTTGTCATAGTTGGGTAGCATTGTACATTTTTGTGGGTACTTAAACCCAATAAGGCATATAACTATACATTTTTCATCCTATCCCAACAATGAACCAGAAAAGGAGCAGTTTTCGGAAAGCGTGGACGGTGACGCGCTCTTCGGACTCATCTCTGCATCCGAGGAAATGTCCGAAATGTTTAGCCTGGTTACCAAGGCGCGGAAGGTTAGGGGCTTCAGGTTTAGGGGTTTAGAGGTTTAGGGGTTTAGGGGTTTAGGGGTTTAGGGTCTAGGGTTTAGGGGTTTAGGGGTTCAGGGTTTAAGGGTTAAGGGGTTTAAGTTGTAGGGTTTAAGGGTTTAGGGGGCTTAGGGTTGAGATGTGCAAGGCGGAATTTGCTGGTTTCTCAGCTTGTTTTGGGGTTTGGAGCTTTTAGTTTTGTGTTCCGGATCTGGGTTTCGTGCTGTTCCTTAGATGGAGTTTCAATTTTCGACATTTAGAGTTTAGAGGTTTCCGGGTTCGGAGTTTAGGCCGTTGGCACTCTGGAGTCCAATATGCATTGTAGAATCTGGTTCATGGTGCAGAGTCCGATGGCATCTGAAATCTTGCCTGACGGATCAGGGTGCATAGTGGTTATACGTATTCAGTAAGCTAATAACTATCGTTGTAATTTCTCACATATGACTCTACATACCACGTCCCATGACCCCGCATTCTGAATCAAGGACCCGACAATTGAAGACCCAAGAAACGGCGAAATCCTAGCCGGAAAGCTGGGAACCCGAAGATCCACAGCCTTGCCCCTGAACCCTAAGCCCTGAAAGGTGGGGGCGACCATGGTGGTGCGATCTGGACAGAGAGGGATGTCAAAGCTGACACGGCAATTATGTTTGACTTTTCTGAGACTGAAACTCCGAAGGAGTAACGAACGTAGTTTTGCTACTGTGGTTCCACTACGGACATATGGGGCCGACTAATTAGAACAGGCCTTAGTATATAGTATACAACATGTACTCGGGACTGAGGGGATATTATTACTAATCATCTCGGCCCTGTCTTAAAGCGCTCTAAAGGGTTGCTGTAAGACGTCCTTTCAAGGGCTACTAGATGGGTTCTGTAGGGCTTTAGGGGTTTAGCTGCCAGCTCAGAAATCCTAAATATTCAGGCCCCAATATTTGGCGAATGGACCCGTGCGGAACCGCGATAGAAGCTTTATATATATATATATATATGTATAATTGGAAGCCTCAGGTCATATACTATGAAGGTAAGAATAATGACCGACATGTCCGTAAATGCTTTGGAATGAATGTCATTCAATAATAATCTGTATCAGAACGCCATTCTAACATTAAGGCCGGTAGATTCCCAGAGAGCCCAATACCCCTTAGTTGAGGAATATCGCTTAAATCATAATATGAAGCCCTACATACTTTAAGCCATACTCCTTAATTAAGGGGTATTGGGCCTCTGGGTGCCAGTCTTTGAAGGAGAGGTGGACACATACACATCGGAGCTGTATCCTACGCAGAACTTGTCGCCAGATAGTGCCCTGGCAGTTCAGGAAGCCTGTTCCTTTTTTTTCTAGTTGAAGGGTGCCGAGTTTCGTGTCCCGAAACCTTGAACTCTAAACCCTAAACCCTACCCTCTAAACCCGAAACCTTAAACTGCCCTAAACCCTAAACCGAAGTTATGTTTCACCGTCTTGAACTGAGCGCCGGAATGTTGCAGTGCGATAGAGGCTGATACGCAATAGTAGTGGCTTGTGTTGCCCTGCTATTGGTCTGTCCTGCTTGCGAAAAGTGTGTCTGTATACATAGTATACATGCAAATATCTATGCATGTGCTTCCTTTGCCATGATGAGTTTCGCAAGGCTTGCGAGTATCGTTGGGCAATCTGTTACGTCACGTCGTGGTGCCTTCCGTTGTGTGTGGTTTCTGTTTATTTCTGCGGAGTTGTATGTATCATGTTTCTGGTTCACTGAATGTGGGGTTTAGGGCTTAGGGTTTAGGGTTTAGGGTATAGGGTTTAGGGTTTAGGGTTGTATGCAAAAGCCTGCTCGTTACACCCGGCAATGCAACACTGGCCGAAGCTGGTGCGATGGGTGACAGTCGGTCTGGTGGTGGTTGTCGTGCGTGCCACATCTGTATTGGGGGCTAGGCTTGTTGTCTTTGTTGTTGCATGTACTGTGTTTCCTCAGCCTCCGTTCTTTCTTTGGTATTCTGTCGACCCTTCGACATCTTTGTTTCTGGGAGTCTGTCGTCCGCTGTTTATCGAACCCACGACCAAACATAACATGCTAGTTACGATTGGTGTGAGTGTTGTTCATACCAAGTATTACCGTTTACTCCTATCAGTGTCATTGGCGTGTATGCAGTCATTTTCTGCTTTTCGTTTTCGGCTTTTGCTTCAGTCTGTACTGTCTGCGTGTATTGGTTCAGGCATGTTCCTGGAATCCGTGAAGAGCATCCCAATGTTGTGGTTCACCCCCACTGCATGGGCAGGCAAGGTGGTGCCACACATGCAGCTCGTCAGAATTCCCAGCTGAGCCGCGCGAGGAAATGCTTGAAAGACTGCCATCGAAATGCCGTGCCCATCATGAATGCTAACTGTGAAGCTAAGGCAAAATTATGGCACTCATCACATCAACACCATCAGCGCTGGTGGAGAGTTTCGCTATGCTGCGATTGTGGAGGCTTCGTACATATCTGCGCACGGGAGTGCCGAGATGGATGCGGAGGCGGATGCCGACTTCCTCTTTTTCTTCTCCGCTGATGCCGAGGCAACGATGATTACTCTTACCTCGGGGGCTGAGTAGGTAACCTTTAACCTTTTCGTGCTTATATAACCCTACAAAAATTGGAAAAGTTAATCTTGTTGGGGCCAGGATACTTAACCCGCAATTTACAGGGATTGCAGTTGTTCTTGGCAGTGGTTGAAGCAAACTTATGCTATATCTTTTTGGTTGCCATCTTTAGCATCCTGAGGACTAAATGGGAGTTTCCGAAAACAAGGGGGGACCTTATTTTGGGGGTCCTTATAATCAGGATCCTGCTGTTTAGGGTACTTTAGTAGGGTCCCCTATTTTCGGAAACTTTCAAATCAGCGATGGCAGTAGTGATCATGCATGCTATGCTACATATCGTCATAACTGCTCAGGGTAATTTGTACCGATGTTGCCATTTGCGTCGCCCATTCTTACGTGATGCGTTAAAGTATCACTAACATTAATACAATGGTTTCGAAACTGGTAATGACAATGTATGTTTTTGGATGCGCCAGGATGCTCGTGGTGACGGTTAACTATGCTTAATTATGCTGGAAAGGCTTCCTCCTATCACTCTTAAGATATCAGAGTTTCCGAAAATTCGGGGTACTTTATTTGGGTGTCCTTAGAACCAGGATCCTACTATTCAGGGTACTATATCCGGGTCCCTTCTTTTCGGAAACCCCCATATTGCTGCTACTAGTGCAATACGGTCTGACTCGGTATGTAATGTAGAAACCCCAAACTTAAACACTGAGCTCGAAACCCTAAACCCGAAACTCTAAACTCAACCCCCCCAAAGGCCCAGAGGGTAACCCCTAAACCCTAAACCAAAGCTCGTTCCCTGAGGCCCATGCGTCGGCCAGCGCAAGCGAGGCTTTCCGGCAGTCGCTCTCCCTGAGGCTGGGTTTTGGTGATCTTGAAGTTTTCTTGCTTGTTTCTAGCTCTTTGATGTTTATGGCACAGTTTATGGCTGCTTCCAACATGTATTGTGTTTTTGTTTTTTTTGAATCGGGTTTGTGAAGGTGGCGGTGAAGGGCTTGTCCCAAGGACTTGATATTTGGGGGTTTCCGAAAATACGAGACCCTAATATAGGACCCTAAATAGCCAACACAAGGTACCCCTAGTTATCGGAAACTCCCATTTGTTGAAAGGCTTAAACCCCATAGATCCCTTACAGAACCCTTATGGGTCCCTTTAAAGGAAGCCCTATAGATCCTAACATGTGTTGAAACCCTCAACCTTAGACACTAAACCCTAAACACTGAACCCTAAACCCTAAACCGCAGACCCTAAACCCTAAAAACCCCTAAATCCTATAGATCCTGATATAAACCCTAAAACCCCTAAATCCTATAGATCCTGCTATTTCTTGAAAGCTTTCTTCCGGGCTTTTAGGGGAGATGCCAGCTGATTTCGGCTTGGGAGCTTTCCGGGGTTGAGGAAAGTAGGGTTTGGGGTTTAGGGTTTAGGGTTTAGGGTTTAGGGTTATGAGCTTACGGTTGATGATATGATATAATCTTACAAAGCCTATTGGAGAACTTTAAACTTTTTGGCTTCATATATTTGGTCTAGCTTAAAAAGTTTGAACTTTGTTTGGGCCTGGTTACTGGAGAAGAGAGTAATATTTCCTTTAAAGGGATCTATGAGGGTACCTTTGAGGGGTTCCTTTCAGGGATTTGTAGGGTTTTAGGGTTCAGGGTCTAGCGTGATGATATAAATCCTGCATTACCTTAATGACCCTAGACTATTGGATTTATGGTATGTTCCTTATTATGGATAAGTCAGGTTTTGCATCAACCGTAGTAGCTCAACTGAGGCACAGGGGCCCTCATCCCTGAAATAGTACAAGGTTGGATTGTCTTGCGGACTTGGGTTTTGCGTGATTATAGGTTATTTGAGTTTGGGCCAGGATTTAGGATTTGGGGTCATGGATTTTGCAGCGATTTCATGGTTTGGAGCGAGGGTTCAAGCATTTTAGGGTTTAAGATTCAGAACCTTGTAGAGTGTTTGGGTTTCATGATCAGCACGGGGTTTATGGAATTTGAATCTAGGGTCTCGGCTGCTGGGATAGTGTTTATTGTGCGAGGCAGGTGGTTTGCAACGGTGGGAACGGCAAGTGCAACGCCAACTCCACAGCGACATATGATGCATGGGTGGATTCTGTCCACAAGTACCCCTGGGTGCTGAGCGCGCGCTACACTCCGAACTATGCTCTCGTCCCTGCGACGGAGAACGGCATCGTTCTTGAAGCGGTGACCATCGCATATCTGGCGTGGCAGGGCATCCAGAAGCTCATGGAGAAGCTGACTGCGATTAGGGCAGTCCTCAAGATGTACACAGGAATGGCAGACCCTCTCTGCAGCTTTCAGAAACTTGGTAGCCCAACACGTAGTTTTTGCTATGGATACCGCAATCCGATCTGTTTTTTCGAGCGTTGAGTTCACCTGGACCTTAAACCTTAACTTAAATGCAAGTGTTGGCATTCATTGATCCCGAAGCTGAAGATCTCAGGAAAATTGGCACGTGCAGCAGTGGCTCAACGTCGTGCACTCGAGCGGGAAGCACCGGGGATCCCACGAAATTGATTCCCATCGTTCGGGCAAATGCCCAGAAGCTGTACAATCAGACAGATCCACTCCACGCTCAGTTTCAGGCCACTCTGGGGGCAAGGAATTCCTCCATGCAGGCGGGCTTGATTCATCGCAATCACCATTGTGTTCCTCGTCGTTGTTGCTGCTGTTGCAGCACCACCGTGACCACCACCACGATCACCACCACCAAAAGCGATCACCACGACCAAAAGCGACCACCACGACCACCACGACCACCATGACCACCACGACCACCACCGACCACCACGACCCGACCACGACCACTATGCCTACCACGACAACCGCGACCACCGCCACGATCGCCGGGCTGAGTGGGGCGGAGTGGGGCGGGAGAGGGGTTGGGCATACATTGGGGAGCAATTAAAGTACTCTACTACTACCAAACCCCGAGCGCCACGACCAAAAACACTCACCATGACGGCGCGAGCACCGCCATTCCCGACAAGGGTGATGCGGGTAATCAACCGGCTAGTTTCTAGCGCCGAAAGAAAGGAACTGCAGTAGCAATAGTTCTAGATCAAAGCTAGTAGTCGTTGTAGCGGTATGCATAGTACCACCTGTCAGCATGTTTGAAAGGACAATGTTTGACTTATCGCATGGGTAAGCAAGAGCCATCATCTTCATGATCATCCATATCCTGGCACAGACTAGATGCATGTTTGCAACTGCCAATGCGTGTTTTCTGACAATGTAGCCTTCTTTATGTTCACAACGATGATGATGACGATGATGAAGGTTGATGAGGAGGATGATGATGGTGAGGATGAAGATGGTGATGATGATGATGAAGATGATGTTTCGTTGATGACTATAACAGTGGCGGTGATGATGATGATGGTGTTGATGATCGTGGTAACGATGGTGATCGTGATAGTGGTGGTGATGATGATGTGATTTCGATGTGGTGGTGATGATGATGATGATGGCGGCTTACGATGACCTTGCGTTAATTTGAGCACACCGATAGAATGCCATCGTGCCTGCTTCAGGTGGATGGCTGGCTTCCCAACGCGACGTCCTGGGTCCAAGCTGTCAAGGACATGGCGGCTGTCGTCTTTTCCATGCCCACTGTCCTGCAGTGCACTGGCTACGCAGATATGTCTGCTGACCCAATCTGCAAAATTTTTGGATGCGAAGACCATGTCTGCCAGACCGCTCCAGGGGTCAAGTGCGGTGATTGCGAGGCCAAGACTGCCAAAATCCCATGCAACCCCGAACACAAAAACAAAACCCAAAGCCCTAAACCCTAAACCCTAAATCCCAAACCCTAAACCCTAAACCCTGAACCCTGAAGCCTAAACTGAGAACACCAAAAAGCCGCCTAAATCCCTGTACCGAGGCAAAGGTTGCTGCCTCTTGCACCTGGTCGTCAGTGCCGATTCCTCGAAACTTAGTAACTGAGTGGATGCACTTTACACTTTTTGGGATAGTATTGCCCACTATAAAACTAAAAGTATACACTTTCTGGGATAATATTGCCCACTATAAAACTAAAAGTATACACTTTTTGGGGGCTTTTGAACTCAGCAACTAAGGAAAGCTCCTCTCCCCATCGGTTGAAAGGCCAATCTACATATGAGCATCCGTCAACAATTACCCCCCTCCACCCCAATCGTCCATGGTTTGGCCATGAATAAGAAGTCTTGACAAACGCTCATATGAAGAAAAGGCCGGAGGTGTGAAATTTGGGTAGAGTTTTGGCTTGCTTTCTGTTCTCAAAGATCTTTCGAGGAAGACCAAAAATCCAGCTTGGCAACATCTAAACCCTAAACCTAAGCCCTAAACCCTAAACCCTAAACCCTAAACCCTAAACCCTAAACCCTAAACCCTAAACCCTAAGCCCTAAACCCTAAACCCTAAACCCTAAACCCTAAACCCTAAACCCTAAACCTAAACCGGCAGAAAGCAAGAGACCATAGAAGCCCTTGCTGCTTGGGCAAGGCCGGGCTGTCAGAGGCCCTTACTTGGAGGTTTAGGGCTTAGGGGTTTAGGGCTTTGGGGTTTAGGGCTTTGGGTTTAGGGTGCAGGGCTTAGGGTTCAGGGTTTAGGGTTTAGGGGTTTTAGGGTTCAGGGCTTAGGGTGCAGGGTTTAGGGTTTAGGGGTTTTAGGGTTCAGGGCTTAGGGCCGAGGGTTTGGGCTTTAGGGTTTAGGGCTTAGGGGTTTTATTGGTCTATAATTGGCGAGGCTGAAGGGACCTAGAGGCACACAAGTTTGTGCGTGCCTCTGAACCTCCAAGCAAAGTTCTGGGTTCCTGAGTGATACCCTTTTGCCCTTGTTTTTTTTTTTCAGGGGCCCCTGATAAAACCCCCGAATAGTATGACAAGGGTACCCTTATAATGGGGCTACTCAGGAACCTAGAGCTTCATTTGGGCATGAAGTAGCCTCCGTTCCAGATGCAGAGTTTCGCCGCATCAGCTTGGAAAGATGTCTCTTCCTTGCTTAGGATTTTGGATCAAAAGATCTTTTTTCCGATAAGCCTAAAGCCCTAACCGTGAACCCCAAAGATCTCAAGCAGACCGTAAGAACACCGCAAGTGGGTATTTGCACATGTAAATGCGAACTTGCATGTAGTATACAAGTCTGTACTTGGAGGTTCATGGGCAGTTATAAGTAGGGCTAGAAGTAGGATAACTGTAGCTATAACCCATAATAGGGGACGTAGAACCCTACTTTCAACTACCCATGAACCTCCAAGTATGTTCGCAAAAGGAAACGGGCGTGCCTTGCTGGTCCCCCAGCTAAGTGTCCCAGGCTACCATGACGAGGGTCGGCGGTCTGCGGGGGGTGCTGACTTATTCTGAATTCACAAGGATATGCAGATTTCTTAAATCAACTCCCTCGATGATCTCTTAGGCCCAGGCCCCAGTAGTACGTCCCATTTTGCTGGAGTTTTGCTGCTCTCCAGGCTACGAAGGAGGTGGCCCCTGCTGCGCAGGCCTCCGGACTTCTGAAGCATCGGGGTGCGAAAAAGTGTTTAGCGTTTGTCTGCGGGTTTTTGGTGTGCTCCTGAGCTGTTAATGCCCAACAGCCGCTGCCCATGGGCGAGCACCCACTCGTTTGGCGTATCTAGATTTCCATGTAGGATCATCGCGCGATGATGCTCCGCTTCCTTTTGCTCACCCTTGCGGCCGGACTCCGCTTGAACAACGACCCGGCGTGGCCGTGGGAAGAGCACCCAGCGAGCACGGCCGAGGAGCTTCAAGAGCTCCTGAGAAGGGTGCTTACGGAGGCCGGCGCAGTTGAGCCCCTTCCAAAGCCCGGCAGGGCGGAGGCACAGGAGGTGGAGCTCAGAAAGGTGGTTGCCGACATGCAAAAGCCCAAGGATCTGCTTGCCAACATCATCCACGCGATCTCGCAGAGTAGCAGCACAAAGCGGTGCCATCGGCAGCTAGAGCAGCTGATGCACAACCTCACGCTTACGTGCGAAGGCTTGCAGCCGAAAGCCGACTGGCTTCTCGACTACTATGTCCCGGCCCTCTCGAACAAGACCTGCACGGAGAGCGTCAGCGACATCTTTGCTTCGGGAGACGAGCTCGTCCCGATCCTCCGCGTCTCCAGAGACGCAGTGGCTTCCTTGGATGTGTCCGACGAGACGCTCCGTCGGTATCAGGCGCTCTCCTTTTTGAGGAACTGGCTTGTGAACCTCACCCGCACTCATCATCATGCGCTGGTTTGGGCCGGCTTCTGGGATGGGGACCTGCAGCAGCGCACGACGAAATCGAAGCTTTCCAGCTTTGCCAAGTCAATAGAGCACGCGACCATGCACCCAGACAGCTTCCTCGGCCAAGTCATCGAGGCGAGCCAGGACCTCGACGCTTGCTACGAGGACACCCAGACCAGTGCGCTTGCGGGAAATATGTGGTCCATCGCGAGCATGAGCTTCGTGCTGGGGATGCGCGAGAAAGCGCAAGGAACCGTCATCGCATTGGTCAACAAGAAGATTACAGGGGAGCGCAACTTGTCCCAGTCCGTGCTGTCCACCCATGAAATCCCCACAGTGGGGCTCGCAGCCTGGGGGCTCGGGTTCTGGTCTCCGAAGGTGATCATCGTGGACCTCATGGGCACCTGCAACCAGACAAGCCCGGCTCTGCAGAAGCAGCTTTTTGTGCGCTTGCCCGCTTGGGCCAAGTCAATGAAGCACTGGAGCGCAGAAGCCTTTGCGAGGAGGTCGCGGATGCAGTGGCAGTGCATCGACTGCTCGGGCGCTTGCAGCCTCGACGATGCCTTGGCAGAGCATGTGGAGAAGCTGGTCAAGGCAGGGGTGAGTATGGAATGACTCTGCCAAAGCCTTTAATCTAACGTCCCAACCATAACCTTAAACCCCAAAACAAAACTCCAACCCTAACCCAAACAGAACCCCAACCCTAAGCCCTAAATCCTAAACCCTCATCTGATCTGCAGGCTTGTGATGCTTGAGTTTAAGCTTAAGTTTAGGGCCGAGAGCCCGGGTCCTGGAGGCCAGGAGACCCTAAAGCCAAACTCTAAAACTCGAGCTACTAATAACCCTAAACCGTAAACCTCAAACCCTAAGAGGATAGACCCTAAACCCCTTAACCCCTGAACCCCAATCCCCCTAACCCCTAAACGCCTCAAACCTCTGAACCTCTAAACCCTGATGCCTAAACCCTAAACCCGAAACCTCTGAACCCCTAAACCCTAACCCCTAATGCCTAAACCTGGAGGCCAAAGAGGCTCAGGACCGGAGGGACCAGGAGCTGAGAGAGGCCTGTAAAGGTTCCTTTCAGGGTTGCTCTAGAGGGTTTAGGGTTCAGGGTTTAGGGTGTAGGGGTTCAGGGTTTAGGGTTCAGGGTTCAGGGTTCAGGGTTTAGGGTTTAGGGTTCAGGGTTTACGGTTCAGGGTTTAGGGTTTAGGGTTCGGGGTTTAGGGCTCGGGGTTTAGGGCTTATAGGGTTTAGGGTTCAGGGTTCAGGGTTATGGTTCCTTTCAGGGTTGCTCTAGAGGGTAGGGTTTAGGGTTGAGATTCCTTTCAGGGTTAGGGGTAAGGCTTTTGTTGTCAGGGCTCCTTTAAGGGTTCCTTTTTAAAGGGCTGTCGTCTTGGGTTTTTAAGGGTTCCTTTTTAAAGGGCTGTCGTCTTGGGTTTTTATAGGGGCTTTACAGGGTTTTGTAAGGGCTTCTGTAAGGGTTCCAGAAGCATTTCCATGATGAGGAGAGAGAGAGAGAGAGAGAGAGAGAGAGAGAGAGAGAGAGAGAGAGAGAGAGAGAGAGAGAGACGGATGGAAGAAAAGATGAGAGAACAACAACGAGACAGAGAGAAGGAGCTGGAGGGAGGGAGAGAAGGATAAATAATAAAATAAGCGAGATGCGAACCACGGTTCTGGACAAATCTTTTTGCAGACTTAGATTTATCGGAAAGAGAAGCATGGTTGCGGTGCTGGTTTACGTCTGGAGTATGATCTCAGAATGGCTGTTCGTCATGTTTGGAAAACCAGTGAACTCGGTGGATTTTGTGCGTTTTTTTTGTTGTGGTTCATACGGTGCTCTCTGGTAGTTAGTGTGTTGGGGCAGCACCGCAAGTTTGCTACTGGGGAAAGGGAGAAGGGGTGCCAGTGCCTGCTATGTTCTTTTGAAGGTCGTGTGGCGAACTCTTGTCCTGGGTAGTAAGTCGCGTGATGCTCTAAGTGTTGCTCCAGAAACCCTAAGCTTTAAAGCCCTAAACCCTAAACACCCCAACTCCCGGCTCGTTGCGAGGTCATGAGTCCTCACCTCGCAGCCAGGGCCGCCACCGGTACCAAACTAAGCACAGATGACACGGGCCTCAGCGTCAAACTGGTGAGAGCGCTGTTGCAAAAGCGCAGCCCTTACAGGGCAAGAGCTGCACATGAACGCGCACTTGCTTTGATCCATGATCTGGATGTTGAAGCCGGCGAGGCTAAGCAGGGAATTCCGGAGCTCGACCCAACGGCGAGGCAACTGCGGGTGGAGCAACTGCTCCATCAGAATGCTGATCCAAACGCTCCGGACTGGCTCGGCTACACAGCCCTCATCTACGCGGCATACGAAGGACACCAGGAGGTGGTCCAGCCATTGCTGACTGCCGGTGCGCAGCTGGAAGCCCGTGATGAGGGCGGCAACACAGCCCTCATTCGTGCTGCCGGCAGAAACCATCTGCAGGTGGTTGAGGCGTTGCTCCAAGCTGGAGCCCAGCTGGAAGCCAGCAGTGCAGATGGCTTCACAGCCCTCATCTTTGCTGCAAGCAACGGCCACTTGAAGGTGGTCGAAGCGCTGCAGAAGGCTGGAGCCTAGCTGGAGGCCCGTAGTGCGCAAGGCGGCACAGCCCTCATCAGTGCTGCCCGCAGGGGCCACTTGAATGTGGTCGAGACATTGCTCAAGTCTGGAGCCCAGCTCGATGCCCGCGATGTTTATGGCAGCACAGCCCTCATCTATGCTGCAAGGCAAGGCCATTTGAAGGTGGTCGAAGCGTTGGCGCAGGCTGGAGCCCAGCTGGAGGGCCACGACGTGTTACGCGGCACGGCCCTCATCTATGCTGCAAAGCAAGGCCACTTGAACGTGGTCGAGGCATTGCTGAAGGCTGGAGCCCAGCTGGAAGCCTACAAGGAGTATGGCACAGCCCTCATCCATGCTGCATCGAAAGGCCGGCTGAGCGTGGTCGAGGCGTTGCTGAAGGCTGGAGCCAAGCATGGCTTTCCTCAGGCTCGTGCTCTTGCTGCAGAGAAAGGCTACTTGAATGTGGTCAACGCATTGAAAAGGGCCGCAGCCGGTGCGCAATCGGAGGCTCGCGATTCGGATGGCAAGACTTCCTTCAACTCTGCAAATCAAGGACACCTGCAGATGTAGCACATCGCGGCCCCATGGGCTCCTCCTGTGCAGCTGCAGAAAGGTGATGTGCATGTTGCAGAGGTTAATATGCTGGTTCTGAGTAGTTTGTAGTACTACGTTCGATGATATAAACCCTGCTTTACCCATGATAAGTAACATGCCAGAATTCCCATAGTTTGGGGTCCTTAAGGTAATGCAGGGTTTATATCATCAACAGTACTGTGCTGATGTATTCCTCAGGGTTCCTTATGATAAGAATGTTTATAGACTGGTACACTCCAAACCCTGTTCTAACCATTAAGGCCTCTACATAAGGAATTCCCCAGCTTGCCAGGACATAAACCTTCGGGGCTCTGGGTACTTAGCAACTCCAGTACGTTTCAGTGTACTACCATCTCATAACTCAGAACCCCCTGAGCCCAACACCTTTTCGGGTGCCTACAACCAATTAACCCTTAGCCCCTTAACCCTAAGGCTAGCTTTAGGGGTATTTTAGCTAATTACATGTGAACCTTTAAGGGTATTTAACAGCCTCTAACCCCTAAATTTAGCCCCCAAACATTACTTGTGTAACCCCTTAATAGAACATTTACGTATATTAGATACAATGTAAAGTCTGAAATCTACAATATGCAAAATACAGTGCGTAGGACATGAGGTGTAAGATAGACGATATGTAAGACATAAGGTACAAGATAAGATATACGGATTACACATCGTGAGTACTAGAACATAAACATTATCTTGTAATATGTTCTGCTATACTACATTATGTTATATTGTATGATATTGTATTGTATTGCACTGCAATATTTTATATATGTATATGTATATGTAGATATTAGACAATATATGTTATAGAATATGAAATATAACCTTTACAGGCGCTGTACGAGGGTTGCATGATGGTTTGTGGATCTTAGGGCTTGGAGGTTTACGGTTTCCGTCGGAAAAGCAAGCGATGCTTGGCAAGCAGGGTGATAAGTGCCTGACTCGGGTTTCAACAACGTAGTCACACCATTTTAAGGGGTTTATGATCACAGCATAACATATGCCAAGACCCTGTTCTAATTCTTAAGGCCACTATATGTAGCTGTTAGCTTGTAAATATACATACTTTTCTGACAAGACCCACTTCCCTGATCCTTCCAGTAAACCCCAACCAGAGGATCTTTACCCTAAACCTCTATGCCCTAAACCCTAACCCCCAAACCCCTATACCCTGAACCCCTAGACCCTGCAAAACAACCAGAGAATCTTAACTGGTTCAAGGCTCCAGTGGCTCGTAAGCCGATACAACCGAAACCCTAAGGGCCTTGAAGGGAACTCCAGAAAGTTGGAATATGGATTAATGGTAGGATCCCCTATAATTTACCTTAGTGGGGTTACGATAATGATATTCCAACTTTCTGGCTTCTACTGTAATACTTAGACTTAGACTTGGGTCCCCTTTACAGGCGTCGTAGAAGGGTTACTATAAAGGGATCTATATGGGTACTAGAATAGAGGGGCTTGAATACTTAGACTAGCGTTTATAAGGGTTACTATAAAGGGATCTATATGGGTACTAGAATAGAGGGGCTTGAATACTTAGACTAACGTTTATAAGGGTTACTATAAAGGGATCTATATGGGTACTAGAATAGAGGGGCTTGAATACTTAGACTAGCGTTAATCAGGGTTACTATAAAAGGATCTATATGGGTACTAGAATAGAGGGGCTTGAATACTTAGACTAGCGTTTATAAGGGTTACTATAAAGGGATCTATATGGGTACTAGAATAGAGGGGCTTGAATACTTAGACTAGCGTTTATAAGGGTTACTATAAAGGGATCTATATGGGTACTAGAATAGAGGGGCTTGAATACTTAGACTAGCGTTTATAAGGGTTACTATAAAGGGATCTATATGGGTACTAGAATAGAGGGGCTTGAATACTTAGACTAGCGTTTATAAGGGTTACTATAAAGGGATCTATATGGGTACTAGAATAGAGGGGCTTGAATACTTAGACTAGCGTTTATAAGGGTTACTATAAAGGGATCTATATGGGTACTAGAATAGAGGGGCCTGAATACTTAGACTAGCGTTTTGGGGCCCATTATCCGTTTGTTTATAAAACAAGAGCCCCGCGAAATAGTATAAGTCGATTGTGATTGTGGCGGTGGCGCGGATTTTCGCACTCGGAATCTTCTTTCACAGAAATCAGAGGTAGGTGTAGACTAGTGGCTTCTTAAACCCGAGACCAGAAGCCTTAGACCTAAACCCTGGGCCACGTACCTTTAAGCCCTGCAAGAATCTCTTTTCCCTGGCGGTCTGCCAGGGTTTAGAGTTCAGGGTTTAGGGTTTAAGGTTTGGGGTTTAGGGTTTAAGGCTAAGGGTTTAGGGTTTTGGGTTTAGGGTCGAGGACTGGGAAGCTATCAAGATAAGATCGCGCTGACGGAGGCCAGCAACTTATGTAGGTGAGCTTTTGCTAAGGACCTTGATTTGGGTTTGGGGCTTTGCTTTAAGGCATCCGGAGTTCAGGGAATTGGGGTGTATGTATGTAAAGGCATAGAGTCAACATGTGTGCGTGGACACATCGGCATACACGTATACAGGTATATGTGTACGCGTATGTGTTTGCACATGTAAATGCGAACTTGCATGTAGTATACAAGTCTGTACTTGGAGGTTCATGGGCAGTTATGAGTAGGGCTAGAAGTAGGATAACTGTAGTTATAACCCATAATAGGGGACTTATAACCCTACTTAGAACTACCCATGAACCTCCAAGTATGTTCGCAAAAGGAAACGGGCTTGCCTTGCTGGTCCCCCAGCGAAGTGTCCCAGGCCATGACAAGGGTCTGCGGTCTGCGGGGGGTGCTGACTTATTCTGAATTCACAAGGATATGCAGATTTCTTAAATTACCTCCCTCGATTCGATGATCATTTAGGCCTAGGCCCCTATAGTATGTCCCATTTTGCTGGAGTTTTGCTTCTCTCCAGGCTACGAAGAAGGTGGCCCCTGCTGCGCAGGCCTCCAGAGGTCTGAAGCATCGGGGTGCGAAAAGGCGTTTTTTGGGGTTTGTCTGCGGGTTTTTAGTGTTGTCCAGCGCTTTCGGAGAGTCTTGTAGAGGATCTCGGATGCGAGTCTTTCGGGGGTTTGGGTTAAGTCGCTTTTCTGCATCTTGATATAGAACCGTCCCCACCTCTACTGGCATTTCCAAACCGCGGTTCCCAGAGCCTGAACCCAAAGCTCCCGAAATCCTTGACCTGACATTCTTTTGAGCTGTTAATGCCCAACAGCCGCTGCCGATAGGCGAGCACCCACTCGTTTGGCGTATCTATATTTCCATGTAGGATCATCGCGCGATGATGCTCCGCTTCCTTTTGCTCACCCTTGCGGCCGGACTCCGCTTGAACAACGACCCGGTGTGGCCGTGGGAAGAGCACCCAGCGAGCACGGCCGAGGAGCTTCAGGAGCTCCTGAGAAGGGTGCTTGCGGAGGCCGGCACAGTTGAGCCCCTTCCAAAACCCGGCAGGGCGGAGGCACAGGAGGTGGAGCTCAGAAAGGTGGTTGCCGACATGCAAAAGCCCAAGGATCTGCTTGCCAACATCATCCACGCGATCTCGCAGAGTAGCAGCACAAAGCGGTGCCATCGGCAGCTAGAGCAGCTGATGCACAACCTCACGCTTACGTGCGAAGGCTTGCAGCCGAAGGCCGACTGGCTTCTCGACTACTATACTGTCCCGGCCCTCCCGAACAAGACCTGCACGGAGAGCGTCAGCGACATCTTTGCTTCGGGAGACGAGCTCGTCCCGATCCTCCGCGTCTCCAGAGACGCAGTGGCTTCCTTGGATGTGTCCGACGAGACGCTCCGTCGGTATCAGGCGCTCTCCTTTTTGAGGAACTGGCTTGTGAACCTCACCCGTACTCATCATCATGCGCTGGTTTGGGCCGGCTTCTGGGATGGGGACCTGCAGCAGCGCACGACGAAGGCGAAGCTTTCCAGCTTTGCCAAGTCAATAGAGCACGCGACCATGCACCCAGACAGCTTCCTCGGCCAAGTCATCGAGGCGAGCCAGGACCTCGACGCTTGCTACGAGGATGCCCAGACCAGTGCGCTTGCGGGAAATATGTGGTCCATCGCCAGCATGAGCTTTGTGCTGGGGATGCGCGAGAAAGCGCAAGGAACCGTCATCGCATTGGTCAACAAGAAGATTACAGGGGAGCGCAACTTGTCCCAGTCCGTGCTGTCCACCCATGAAATCCCCACAGTGGGGCTCGCAGCCTGGGGGCTCGGGTTCTGGTCTCCGAAGGTGATCATCGTGGACCTCATGGGCACCTGCAACCAGACGAGCCCGGCTCTGCAGAAGCAGCTTTTTGTGCGCTTGCCCGCTTGGGCCAAGTCAATGAAGCACTGGAGCGCAGAAGCCTTTGCGAGGAGGTCGCGGATGCAGTGGCAGTGCATCGACTGCTCGGGCGCTTGCAGCCTCGACGATGCCTTGGCAGAGCATGTGGAGAAGCTGGTCAAGGCAGGAGTGAGTTTGAAATCACTCTGAGAAGCCTGAAACCCTAGACTCTAAGTGCCCCAAATCGCCACCAACTCCTAGACTCTGAGCTCTCCATCCTGTAGATGACTGTGATGCGATGCGTATGTTTTGGTCCGATGCTGTCGAACGTTTTCTTCTGAGCAAACCCCAAACCCTAAACCCTTAACCCCTGATCCCCTAATCCCTAAACCCCTAAACCCCTGATTCCCTAATCCCTAAACCCTTAAACCGTAAACCTCTAAAGCCCTAATCCCTAAACCCTAAACCCCTAAACCCTAAACCCCTAAGCCCCTAAACCCCGAAACCCCGAAACCCTGACTGAGCTCCCCCCATGGAGGCCAAAGAGGCGCAGGACCGGAAGGACCGGGAGCTCCGCCAGGCTGCAAAGGGTAATGCTTGGAAGGGCAGGGGACTTAGTAAGTAGGTTGTAAGTAGAGTTATAAGTACCCTAAATGGAGTTACCCCAATTATAACCCTACTTATAACCTACTTACTAAGTCCCCTGCCCTTCCAAGTGGGACTTGGCAAGTAGGAGTGTACGCTAGTTGAGGCCGAAAGGCAGCTCTAACTCTAACTGTACACATATATACATACACATGCATATGTATATATATATATATATATATACGTATCTATATATGTAGAGAATATATATGTATATATATATATATATATATACACATACATACATATATATATATATATATATATATATATATACATACATATATATATACATACATATATATATATATATATATCGATACACACACTAATTTATGTTTACTGTATGCACTTTATATGATGTATTATACTGAATGTATAGATACCTAGCGCATAGTCCCACGTACATACTGTGTCCCAAACCCCACACTGGCTGGCGGCTTTCGCCTAGCCTCGTCGCTCCCTGGGAGGTCTTGGGTGGTGCTCTCGCAGTACACGGAGCCGCTCTTAAACTCAGCACAGAGGACCCCCGGGCTCCTAATGTCCTAATGTCGGAACCTGATTAAGAAACCTTGGGCCTTTATTAGGGTTCCTTTAAAGGGGTCGATAAGAGTTACTTTCAGGGATCAAAATAAGGGTACTATAATAAGGTGTAGGAACCTGATTAAGAAACGCTTGGGCTTTTATAAGGCTTCCTTATGTGAATCCTACTATTTTGGAGTTATAGTCCCAGGGTTTGATAATCTGGTTCCTACATAAGTAGGGAATGGGGGAATGGATCCTTATGATAGCCGCCCCATAAGGTCCCCCTTCTAGTAGTCCCTATAGCACAAAGGAAGCGATGCTCAGCCTGAAGCAGCTCAGAGCGCTAATTGCGAAGCGGAGATTTGAGAGTATGAAAGAGGTGCAGGAGCGGACAGCTGCGCTGGGCCGTGACCTGGAAGATCAAGTCAACGAAGCGGATCACGGGGTTCAGGAGCTCGGTGCAGCGGCCAGACAACTGAAGGTGAAGCAGCTACTCCATCAGAATGCTGATCCGAACGCTCCGGACTGGCTCGGCCGAACTGGCCTCATCTACGCTGCGCGCGAAGGACATCACGAGGTGGTCGAGCCCTTGCTGAATGCCGGAGCGCAGCTGGAGGCCCGTGATGAGGAAGGCAACAGAGCCCTGATCCATGCTGCCTACAGGGGCCAGCTGCATGTGGTCGAGGCATTGCTAAAGGCCAGAGCCCAGCTGGAGGCCCACGATGTTTATGGCAGCACAGCCCTCACCTGTGCTGCCACGCAAGGCCATTTGAAGGTGGTCGAGGCGTTGGCGCAGGCTGGAGCTCAGCTAGATGCCGCCAATGATCGAGGCAGCACAGCCCTCCTCGATGCTGCAGACAGAGGTGGCAGTTTCCGAAAGTTAGGGGTGCCTCATTTGGGCCTAAACCCTAAACCCTAAACTCAAGGCATAGGCCGCCCACCTACTGTGGGTGGGCGGCGCTTAAGCCCCTCGACCTCGATGGCGCAGAGCGACCCAAGACGCCTGCCCGCCTCTCCACAGCCATGGGGACGGTAGCACCCACGTCAGGCCCGGTACCGGAGCCGGTTCTCCTTGGTCGTCGAGACCCTGGGGTCCCAACCTGTCCCAGAGCACCCCCAAAAAGGGACCCCCCCAAGGGGGGGCTTGGGGCCTGCAGCGAGCAGAGTTCAAGGACCTAGGGGCGTCCAGGCCGGTCCTAGGGGGACAATTCTTGCAGTTTTGTGGTGTCCTGGCCAGCCAGGCGCCGCCAGGCCGCCCCAGGTCCCAGGCCAGGGCCAGGGCCAGACACCTCCACTTGCCTATCCCCTGCCTGGCGCCCTCTTCTGGCCTCTCCTGACCACTTCTGTTGGCCCTTACCTCCTGCCGTACTTTGCCCTGCGTTTTCGGACCAGAAGCTTGGCTGCAGAATTGTGTGGTTGTTGTAAACCAACATGGACCTAACAGAGTTTAGGTCCTAAACCCTAAAAGGTATAGGTTTGGGTGGTTTGGCCGCCTTAGACGGCGTGGGGTGGGAGAGTTAAAAGAAAGAGCCATCCACCATCAGGCTCCAACAGCCAATCGTCATATTACGACGCACTCGACAATACACTGTCGCAAGCTACTTCCGCTTCTGCGCCACTCTACGGCAAACCCTAAACCCTAAACCCTAAACCTTAAACCCTAAACCCTAAACCCGGTCCTTATAATAACTAGATTAGGGTCCTCTATTTTCGAAGCCCCCAGGTCACTTGAAGGTGGTCACGGCCTTGATGAAGGCTGGAGCCGCGCTGGAGGCCGCCAACAGCACAGCCCTCATTGAAGCAGCTAAGCAAGGGCATTTAAGTTTGGTCGAAGTGCTGGTGAAGGCCGGAGCCCAGCTGGAGGCACGCAATAATTATGGCCTCACAGCCCTCATGAGAGCCGCTAAGCAAGGCCACCTGAACGTTGTCGAGGCGTTGCTTAAGGCCGGAGCCCAACTGGGTGCCGCCAGCAAGACTGGCAGAACAGCCCTTCTCTTTGCTGCAGAGAATGGCCACCTGAACGTGGTCGAGGCGTTGCTTGAGGCAGGAGCCCAGCTGGATGTCGCCGATAAGCACGGCATCACGGCCATCGTGTATGCTGCAATGAAAGGTCACTCGAATGTGGTCGAGGCCATGCTGAAGGGGAGGCCCGCAATGAGGATGGCTGTTAACAGTGCGCAACAACAATGGCACCGTAAACCCTAAACCCCGAAGCCCTACGTAAACCGAGCACACGTGGTCAAGGGCCTGGGCAGCAGAAAAAGTGATGTGCATGTTTTGGGAGGTTGAAGCGCTACAAGCATCCTTGCTATACTTATAGCATAACATACCCCTAAAACCCTTTTCTCATCATTCAGGCCCCTACATTACTTGCAGCCTCTGGACAGCAACTGCACTTGAGGTAAACAGCTGTACAAGAGGGGCTTAAACAATTACCAAGACTATTTTGGGGGTTCCTTATTATAGTAAAAGTATACCGGGTCCCAAAACCCGAGTCCAATCATTAAGGCCCCTATATCATAGAACCCTTATGGATCCCTTTATAGACTGAGGAACCCTTTTCAAGGGAACCCTGTTTTCATGCTTAAGGCCCGAATATTATTTGCGGGACCTTTGATAATAGAAACCCTTAGGGGGGCAGGGGGGAGGGGGTAGGGGAGATAGGAATACCACCCCCCTACACCCTAAACCCTAAACCCTGAACCCTAAACCCTAAACCCTAAACCCTGAAGGTCTAGCGCCAGGCCCATCGAGCTCCCAGCAAGGCTAAGGTAGGAACCTTGGGGTCTTGAATGCATCTATAAAGGTACTATAATAATGTAGGAACCTGCTGGGGTTCCTGAAATGAATCCTACTAGTTTGGGGGGTTGCAGGCTGAGGGTTTCTTAATCACGTTCCTACAAACCCATTCAGCCGACTTCGCCGGAGTAGGGTTTAGGATTTAAGGCCTTCGGGTTTTAGGAATAGGGAGATTGGTCTTAGGGTTTAGGGTTTCGGTTTTTGGGTTCATGTTCGGGTTTGGGGGTTTGGCTTGAGGCTAAGCAGTACTTATTTGAGGATGCAGGGACTTAGTAAGCAGGTTTATGTACAAGGACACTATAGTTCCAATTCGTTATAAGTACCACCACAAGGCTACTTAAAGTTGTTACTTACAGTCTTCATTACTAAGAAACCCTAAACCCCGAACCCTAAGACCTGAACCCTAAGTTCTCTCCTCTTCCGAAGATTAGCCGGTTCAGGGCTCCCACACAGGAATGACGGGTGGTGCAAGCCGTACGAGTCCTTTATCTCAAAGGGGAAAGCGAGGGACCCTTAATGGGGACCCCTACCCTGTAATGAGCTATATAATGGGTATATCACAGCTATATTAAGGGTATATACCTAGGGGTCCTTATTATATTAAGGGTCCCTCCTTTTACCCTTGGGATTATCTGAAGTAGCCATCTTCAGCCCCATACCAAAGCCTTACCAAATTCACAAAGCCCATTAACAACCGCGAGCTTAAAGAACCGCCCCACAATAAACATGTACGACTTTTCGATGTGCTCCCGCCGCCAGTCGACGTAGCACAAAAACATGTCCTTAGATGCACTCCGCAGACAAGCACCTTAGTCATCCAGGGGCTTCTCTGCAGCTGCAGCCAGAGGCCAGCACAGTCACAAGACATGTGTGCAAGCAAACATGCAGCAAGAGCCCAGAGGAACCCAACCCGTCCCTCCCACCGAACACCAGGACCTCAGCCCAAGTGCCCGCCAACAGCTGCATCGCTGCCCCACCGTCCTGCCAGAGAGTGCCCTTTTCGCATCCTCGCCCCCGGACCGTCCAGCCGAACCGGGCGATGAGCGGATTAGCCGGGCAGGGAATCGTGCTAGGCCCCCTAGGACACTCCTGGAAAACATGCTTATGCCATCCAAGGTGGCCGCACTTCCAGATGAATCTGTCAGAGAAGCCTGCAGGCCTGCTTAGGCCGACCTGATTCCAGGTGGAAGGAGCGAAACAGCTCCCTGAGGCCACTGCGACGCCTGCCGCGCTAGAGGAAGCCCACTCGCGGACTCCCTTCCATGAAACTCTGGACGAACCCTGGCCACCGGCCTGCCAAAGGTTCACTCCGTTAAGCTCATGACGCTCACTGCCAAGCCAGTGTAGGGCGATCCATGCCCTCCAGCCCTCACGCAAAGAGTGCTGCTCACGGCCAATGCGTCGCTCCAAGGCCGACGCTCTGCCGGATCCCGAGGTCCAGCACAGCATTGCAAAGCGCATGACGCCACTGCCACGCTCCCGTAACGGCCTGGAGAAGCCAGTCCTGCAGGGCCCTACAGGCCGTTCCTCGAGCAGACGTCCACCTGACTGGCTCCTTAGCCGCTCGCCGAAGCAAACCACCTACCAACCTAGTAGCCCACAGAACATCAAGATGACAGTTACTCCAAATGAGAGCCCTACTCTTGATGATATAAATCCTGCATTACCTTAAGGACCCTAAACTATGAGAATTATGGTATATTCCTTGCTATGGGTCATGCAGGATTTATATCATCAACCGCAGTTACTCCAAATGACCTAACCCAAGGACTGCTGTAATGGATAGTCCCAGCAGCCCTCCACACGGACACGGTTTAGGGTTTAGGGTTTAGGGTTTCGAGGCCGACAATAAACGTTCTTGCTGGCGTTTTGTGCCCACGTCAGGCTACCGCAGAGGGAGGCTGTGCAGTCCATGCTGTTCAATCTCCGGCGCTTCCAAGGCATACGAGGGTCATGAAGGGTTTAGGGTTTTACAAACTCTCTACAAGTTTTTCTGATATTTGGCCAAGGTGTTGTCAGGTTTGAGTAAAAATTTATAAGGGTGCCATAGGTTTTTTTGTTATATAGAAGGTTTCAGATATGCGTCACTGGGAGTTTGGGGGCGCTCGCTACTTGACGGATCAGGGAACTCACTTAAGTCGGGTAGTGAGAAAGGTAACTATAGGCTATAGGCAGATATCTACTTGTGGCCCGTAATAGGGCGCTTTTCAATCGCTTACTCAGTCCCCGATCCTCTAAGAAGTACAGCTTCAGGTCTTACGAAGGTCGTGCTGGTTGATGCCATGCCTCAGCCCCAACCCGGCTGACCGTATAGGATATAGGCTTGGGGTTTCGGGTTTGCGGTTAAGGCTTTAGGGGTGGGGCATTGTGTCAAGTTTCTTTATGCTCGTGCTTTCCCATAATCTTCAATGCTTCTCATTCCTCTACTTGGAGGTTCATGGGTAGTTGGGGTCCCTAATTCGGGTTATAACTATAGTTATCTATCTCTCTTATACCCCTACTCATAACTCCCCATGAACCGCCAAGTACGAGTCATACTGCCTTTTCTTTTCCTAAGGGGTTTCTCGCCGCTAGGGTTGCTTTTGCGGTCCTTGGTATGGACATTCGGGTCGCATGATTTTTTTGGGATCCAAAAAATGATCCCAGTTCAACTTCGCTGACCTTACTTACCGGCAGACTGGAAAGTGCCAGAGGTCCGGTCTTCTCTTCACCTTCAATGCAAGATCCTATGTGGAAGTTTCAGAGACTTTGAAACCCAAAACAGACTATGGCTTTTTCTCAATCTTGCTTGGAGGTTTATGGGTAGTCGTAAGTAGGGTTGTAAGTAGGATAACTATAGATATAATCCATACTAGGGGACTTATAACCCTACTTATAACTACCTATGAACCTCCAAGTAGCCCTAAACCCAAACACCCGGCGTGCGTTTCACTTGCCAGAGGGCAAGCTCGGTGTCAAGATTCCGTCAACTCTTTAGGGAGTTTAGGGTTTAGAGTGTAGGGTTTTAGTGAGTTTCAACACCCCTTCAAGAGCGTGAATGTCAAATCCTGCACCCAAAGCCCCCGAAATCCTTGACATGACATCTCCTGAGCTGTTAATGCCCAACAGCCGCTGCCGATAGGCGAGCCCCCACCCGTTTGGCATATCTTTCTTTCCATGTAGGATTATTGGGCGATGCTGGTCCGCTTCCTTTTGCTCACCCTTGCAGCTGGACTCCGCTTGAACAACGACCCGGTGTGGCCGTGGGAAGAGCACCCGGCGACCACGGCCGAGGAGCTTCAGCAGCTCCTGAGAAGCGTGCTTGCGGAGGCCGGCACAGTTGAGCCCCCGCAACAGGGCGGCGGTGCAGAGGCACGGGAGGTGGAGCTCAGAAAGGTGGTTGCCGACATGCAAAGGCCCAAGGATCTGCTTGCCAACATCATCCACGCGATCTCGCAGAGTAGCAGCACAATGCGGTGCCATCGGCAGCTAGAGCAGCTGATGCACAACCTCACGCTTACGTGCGAAGGCTTGCAGCCGAAAACCGACTGGCTTCTCGACGACTATGCTGTCCCGGCCCTCCCAAACAAAACCTGTGCCAAGAGCGTCAGCGACATCTTTACTTCGGGAGACGAGCTCGTCCCGATCCTCCGCGTCTCCAGAGACGCAGTGGCTTCCTTGGATGTGTCCGGTAAGATGCTCCGTCGGTACCAGGCACTCTCCTTTTTGAGGAACTGGCTTGTGAACCTCACCCGCACTCATCATCATGCGCTGCTTTGGACCGGCTTCTGGGATAGGGACCTGCAGCAGCGCACAACGAAGGCGAAGCTTTCCAGCTTTGCCAAGTCAATAGAGCACGCGACCATGCACCCAGATAGCTTCCTCGGCCAAGTGATCGAGGCGAGCCAGGACCTCGACGCTTGCTACGAGGATGCCCAGACCAGTGCGCTTGCGGGAAATATGTGGTCCATCGCCAGCATGAGCTTCGTGCTGGGGATGCGCGAGAAAGCGCAAGGAACCGTCATCGCATTGGTCAACAAGAAGATTACGGGGGAGCGCAACTTGTCCGAGTCCGTGCTGTCCACCCATGAAATCCCCACAGTGGGGCTCGCAGCCTGGGGGCTCGGGTTCTGGTCTTCATCGTGGACCTCATGGGCACCTGCAACCAGACAAGCCCGGCTCTGCAGAAGCAGCTTTTTGTGCGCTTGCCCGCTTGGGCCAAGTCAATGAAGCACTGGAGCGCAGAAGCCTTTGCGAGGAGGTCGCGGCTGCAGTGGCAGTGCATCGACTGCTCGGGCGCTTGCAGCCTTGACGATGCCTTGGCAGAGCATGTGGAGAAGCTGGTCAAGGCAGCCGTGAGTTCGAAAGGATTCTGAGAAACCCGAAACCGTAAACCCAACGCTTCCCTCAACGGACCTTTCCGGACCTTGATTTGCATCCTTTTGTCTCATGCTTGCAGTGATTTTTCGGGCCAAGAGCTCCTTTTCTGGTGGCTAACAGACCCTCAAGCCTGAAACCCTAAACCCTAAACGCTATTCCCAATCCCTAAACCTGGAGGCTAAAGAGGATAGAACCTAAACCCCTTAACCCCTGAACCCTAATCCCCTTGACCCCTAAACCCCTCAAGCCCCTGAACCCCTAAACCGTAAACCCTAAACCCTGAACGGGGACGGCTGCCCTCCCTGCGCCTGGCCTACTTTTTCGCTCTGCCCTCCCTTGTACACATTTGGAGCACCCCTTACAGGGCGCGAGATGCAAGCTGTTTGTTAGAAACGCTTCTTTTCGTCGAGCGGCCGGCACAGGCCGCAAGGACCCACAACCCGACAGCAATCCATTTCAGCTGTGTTTTCTGGAGAACGATTGTTGTTTACATGTCGAGCTGCGAAAGGAAGCAAAGAGCAAGAAAGCCCCCCTTGAGGGGGGTTTGGGGGGTGAACCCTAAACCCTAATTGAGAATAGTTGGGGTGGTTGGGGCGGGACTACATGCTGACGCAAGCGCGCGATTAGTGGGTGCGCCCCTTATTCCTAAAGTAGAAGGTGCACCCACCGCGCGCATACTGTTACACACCCTAAACCCTAAACCCTAAACCCTGAACCCTAAACCCTAATGCTTAAACCCTGAACCCTAAACCCTAAACCCTGAACCCTAAACCCTGAACCCTAAACCCTGAACCCTCAACCCTAATGCTTAAACCCTGAACCCTAAACCCTAAACCTGGAGGCCAAAAAGGCTCAGGACCAAAGGGACCAGGAGCTGCGAGAGGCCTTTCACCACGGGGTTTTTACAAGGGCTTCGAAGGGTTTCGTTAGGGCTTCTCTAAGGGTTCCTCAAGGGGGTTCTAGAAGGGTTCTACAAATGTTAGGTTTTTTTTCCAGGGTCCTGTAGGATTTGCGGGATCATGGAACTTAGTATGTAGGTTTATAAGTATGCTAAATGGAGCTCCAGCACAAGCCATTGTTATGTTTTGTAGCTATAGTCATATCACTTAAAGGATCATGTGAGATAAGAAGTAGGGGGTTGATGAGGGCCACTGTAGGTTGTCATAGGTTTCAGGGGCGGGGTACTGGCTGGACCCCGAAGGGCCGCAAGCATGAGCCCAGCCAGCCCTGCCTGCTTGGAGGGTCGGGGGACTCAATAAGTAGTTATTATATAGACTTATAAGTACCTTAATAGGGACCCTAATTGGGGTTATGGTACTTATAAGTCTATAAAATAGCTACTTACTAAGTCCCCCGACCCTCCAAGTGCGAGGTCGTCAGTCCTCATCTCGCCGTCAAGGCTGCTGGCGGCACCAAGCTCATCGCAAATGATGTGGGCCTCGCCCTAACTCGGTTGAGAACGCTGGTGAAGAAGCGGAGATTTCGCAAGGTGTATGCTGCGCAGGAGCGCTTGCTTGCTTTGGCCCGTGACTGGGAAGAGCAAGTCAGGCAGATGGAGCAGGGGATTCAAGAGCTCGATGCCGCGGCGAGGCAACTGCAGGTGAAGCAGCTGCTCCTCCGGAATGCTGATCCGGAAGCTCCGGACAGGCACGGCTACACAGCCCTCATCTACGCTGCATACGAAGGATACCAGGAGATGGTCCAGCCATTGCTGAATGCCGGTGCGCAGCTGGAGGCCCGGGCTGAGGAAGGCTGTACAGCCCTCATCTACGCTGCTGGCAAAGGCCACCTCCACATTGTCCAGGCATTGCTGAAGGCAGGAGCCCAGCTGGAGGCCCACAATGAGTATGGCATCACAGCCCTCACCAATGCGGCAGCGGAAGGCCACCTGGATGTGGTTGAGGCGTTGGTGGAGGCTGGAGCTCAGCTGGAGGCCCGAGATGCGGCTGGCAACACAGCCTTTATCCAGGCTGCACGCCGCGGCCGTTTCAAACTGGTCGAAGCGCTGCAGGAAGCCGGAAGCAAGCTGGAGGCCCGTGATGAGAGAGGCCGCACAGCCCTCATCCATGCTGCCCACGAAGGCCACTTGAACGTGGTCGAGGCCTTGCTCAAGGCTGGAGCGCTGACACCCGAGGCTGCACAGCACTCATGAAGGCTGCTTGGCAAGATCACCTGAATGTGGTCCAGGTGTTGCTAAAGGCCGGAGCCAAGCTGGAGGCCTACAGTGGGTTTGGCGGCACAGCTCTCATCTATGCCGCCAGGAACGGCCGCTTGAAAGTCGTCGAGGCGTTGCTGCAGGCCGGAGCCCAGCTGGAGGCGCGGGACGGGTATGGCTTCACGGCCCTCAAAGTGGCTGAAGCTTCCGGCCACTTGAATGTAGTTAGGGCATTGAAGAAGGCTGGAGCCCAATCGGAGGCCAGCGATGAGGATAACACAGCTGCCTTAAACCCCCTCGCACAACAACGAGGGCCACCCGCACATGGAGCACTTGGACAGCCTGGTCGAGGGCATCTGCAGTGGCCAAAGAGCGACGTGTATGCGTGCCCTCCTTGCAGGTTCAGCGTAGTTGTAACCGCCGACTAACAACTGTACTTGCAAACCACTACCCTAAACATCGCCACATCCTGAAGCCTGGGCCTAAACCCTGAACCCCGAACCCTAAACCCCTAAACTCCAAACGCTAAACTCTAAACCGCATATAACCTCTGGGGTTTCAGGGGTCAGGTGGTCCTTCTAATGGCTAGCGGTTTTAGGGGTTAATGGTTTTGGTCACCGTTGTAGCTTTCCCAGTTGTTCCAAGGCCCAGCTCACCCAACCCAGTCCATTTCGCATGGCAGTTGTCAGGTTACCCTCTGAAGGCACCTATGATATAGAACCCTCCTTTCAACCCTTGTATATAGTCTGTTTCTGTTATACTCACCATCTTATACTATATTCTTCTATATTATACCATGTTCTATTATATTCTACTGTATTCTGCTACTGTTACTAATGTCCTTCCGCAAGGTTCCCTATAACCAGACTACAAAAGCTTCTACACCGACGGCATCTATACTATACAAACCAATCCCGAACTCAACTTGTCCGATAGCCGTGGTACACGAAAGCTCCTGTCGGACCGTCTTGATGGCCTTATTGCGTAGCATGTCCCTTGATTTCAATTCTAAGCTAAGCCCCAACCCTGAGCCCTAACCCCGGAATTCGCCGGAACCCGAAACTCCTTCACTATAGCGGCCTAAATACTTGCCAATACTGGTTTGGGGTTCCTTCTTATAATCATAGAGTAATCATAGTATAGTATACCCCAAACACTATTCTAATTATCAAGGCCTCTGCAGTACACCCGGAAGAGCTCTGAGCGCCTCAGTGCTGAGCTCGCAGGTGGGCGCTGTGCGGCCCAAATCCTCTATGAAAGGCCTACCATCTCGCTCTCACCCACTTCAAGGACGCAGCCACTGTTGTCGTGAGAGCTTGCACATGATGCTGTGGGGTTGCGGCAAAGGAGAGTTTTCGCAATGAAGCAAGACCTGCGGCTCAAGAATCAGACGCATCCCTGGACTTGCGAAGACTTGCTTCTAGAACCTGGTGCCATGTCGCCCCTGCAAGCCTGGCTTTCCTGCACTTCGCGGGCAGAGGAGGCAGCGGCCCATGGACTAGGCAGGGTCGCCAAATCTTGCGCTCGCAATCCTTGGAAATGTGTGACGCTGACCGTCGTGGGCTGCTTGCTCTGTGGCGTGGGTGTTCTGCGCTTCAAGGCCGTGAACGAAGCTCGTGATCTTTGGGTGGATCAAGGATCGCAGGTCATGAAGGACTTGGAGTGGACGGAGCAGTACTTCCCGGCCCGCGGCCGTATGAATCGCATCCTGGTCACTGCAAAGGATGGTGGCAACATTCTGCGACTGGAGACGATGGCCGAGATCTTCCAACTTGCTGATGAGGTGAAAGCACTTTCGGGTACTGATGGAACGACTTCCGCCGATGTTTGCCTTCGGGTTGCCTCCGGTTGCTTAAATGCTGGGGTCCGCCGGTATTTTGGGACCGGTACCACTGCCGACTTCAATCAGACAGTCACGACTCAAGCCGACATCCTGGTTGCTGTGAACAAGGCCAACTTCCCCGACGGTGCTCCAGCATTCGCCGATGACTCATTGGGTGGCATTGAGCGCGATGGCAGCGGCAGCATCACGAGTGCCAGCGCCGCACGTGTCGACTTCATCTTGAATGCCGACAGCGATACGATGGCATGGGAGGAGGCTCTGGTGGAGCATTTCACCAAGGACCAGCTCTCCAATCAACGCTATGTGCATGTGGATGCTTTTGTGCAGGCGCAGCGTTCGCAGGACGACGAGCTGAACAGAACCGTTCGAGCGGACATTCCACTCTTCGCCATCGCTTTTGTGGTGATGGCAACATTCTGCTCGCTCTTCCTCGGCAAGACAGCATCGTGGACACAGAGCAGAAGGCTGCTGGGACAAGTGGAGTTCTTCCTGGTGCTCTTTGGCTGCATCGCAGGCTACGGCACCTCCATGCTGATCGGCGTTCCATTCACAGTGCTGCAGCAGATCCTCCCTTTCATTCTCGTGGCTAGGATGCCCAGTAGTACCCTTATCCCCTTTTTGTAGTCCTAGGTTCCTTATAAAGTTACCCAATACCAAGAAGAGAGGCCTTTTTATTCTTAGGTTACTGGGTTTCCTAGGTGGGCATTGGCATCGACGATGCTTTCGTCATCTCCGGGGCCTTCGATGCAACCGACAAGTCCCTGAACATCCCTGACCGGATCGAGAAAGCTGTGCAGCGCGTGGGAGTCTCTATCACATTGACTAAGGTGACCTCCATCTCCTCTTTCCTGCTGGGTGCAACCTGCGTCTTCCCTTCGGTGCAGTACTTCTGCGCCTATGCCGCCATCTCCTGCTTCTACATTTGGCTCCTTCACTGCACCACCTTCTGTGCCCTGCTCGCCCTTGATGCAAGGCGTGCCGAAGCAGACCCCCCTCGCCTGGACCCTTGCTTCTGTGTTGGGGCCGGTGCATCATGCATGCCCAGCGCAAAGAGTGCAGAGGGCACGTCGATTCTTGAGAAGATCCTCGTGGCCATGATCAAGTTCCTGACCAGCCACCCAGCCATCTCGTTCGCCACCATCATCCTTTTCCTCGCAGTGGCTGCCGTGTCTGCCTGGCAGGTGAGCCTGGGCCTCAGCACCGACTTTAACATCATGGACCTGTCGCCGGACAAGAGCTACTTGCGAGATTTCAACGATATGGAAAACCTCCACTTCGGCGGCCTCTCAACAGGTGGCTTGTCCTTGCCATGTGCTTTGTATGTGGCAGACACGGACGTTAGCTCCCTGGCAGTGCAGCGCCATCTAGAAGAGGCTGGTGCCGGGTTGATGGCACTCGACAACGTCAACTCTGTCCGGGGGCTTCAGTCATGGCACACCATCTTCACCCTTTGGGCTTTGCAGAACAAGGGTGTCCTTGCTTCCCTGCCTGACAGTGCCTTTACTGCAGTCGATACCAACCGTACCGGCTGCGAGGCCGGCTTGCCTTCCGGCGTCACAACCTGCACCAGCCACCTGGTCACAGGCAGCACTTTCTTGACCGCACTTCAGGAGTTCCTCGCGACGCCTACGGGCAGGGCCTTCGAAGATGATGTGGTGATCCAGAATGGACAGATCAAGGTGGTTCGTATTCGGGCCAATCATATCGACACTTTCAACAGCAGGGAGCAGGTTACCTTGCTCGAAGAGGTCGAGGCTTTCATTCAGCAGTGGCAAGCCGCGCTGCCAGGAAGCTTCGTGAGCGCGCAAGCGTATATCTTCTTCGATCAGTACCGCATCATTGTGGAGCAGATGACAACCAGCATTGGACTCTGTCTAGCGGCAGTTCTCCTCATTAGTGCGCTGGTCTTGGCCCATCCCCTCTCCGTTTTAGTGGTGCTTCTCGTCCTTGCCCTGGTTTTTATGGACCTCATGGGCAACATCGTGCTGTGGTCCCTGGCCCTCAACTCCATCAGCATGATCAACCTTGTCATGGCAGTTGGCTTGGTCGTGGATTACTCCATGCACATGGCACACAGCTTCGGGCTCCAAGATGGAACGCTGCCACGTAGCAAGCGTGCTGAGCTGGCCATGAAGGAAATGGGACAGCCCATCTTTATGGGTGTCTCCACAACCTTCTTGGCCATCTTGCCTCTGGCCTTCTCAGCCAGTCAGGTTTTCCGCGTCTTCTTCAAGATGTTCTTTGGCATTGTCTTGGCAGGTGGTTCACATGGGCTGGTCTTCCTTCCTGTCTGCATGTCCATGTTTGGTCCCAGTGTGACCAAGTCCACAGTGGAAGACATAACGAACACTGACGCGGAGGCCGGCAAGGCCAACGGTGAGTCGGCGACGAAGTAGGCCCGTAGGCTGCAGGGTTTTATTTTCTTTGGTCAGCGCTAAGCGATGACTTTGACTCTGACGGTGTGCACGTAAAACGGGCTGCCGTCATTTAGGTTTTCTCGCAGTGCTCACTGTTTTCGATTCACCTTGTTCCTGGTAAACTCCTTAGCAGGGCTGGGAGAGGTGAGTCGTGGCGGTCTTTGGGTGCGATCCTAAGATCGTTCTGGGAGCAAACTGCTGGTGCCACGCTTCATAGTGGGAGGGCTTCCGAGCCCTCTCCTGTGGATTGCATGCAATCGCCATTCCCACCAGCTTGTGCCTAGTACTTCGACAGCAAGCGGTCTTGCTTCCTGCGGGACTATGCACGAGCTGGTTTTTCCATTCCGACAAAAGCAAAGTCAGATTTTGTCTGGCAGACCCAGTGGCAGTTTGTGCTTGTGCGTGGCAACATGTGGCTCTTCGCGTCTGCAAGAGTCTACACAGTTTGTGTGAGAATGCACAGACACGCTCACAAAGATGTGTTGATCTTGGGCAGGACAAAGAGACGGGACTGAACCATCTGGAGCAGATTGCAGGCGCAAGTACAAGTTTGCAGCCAAAATCCTGAACACATCAGGTCGCACGTGAATGGACAGTCTTGCTGCCGAAGCTTCTTCCATGCCGGTTCTCCAAAAGATATTGAAATCATCTCTTCTTGTGTGAAGCTTTCCTGGGGTGTAGTCGAGCATGAACTGTTAAGGCGGGAGCTCTGATATAAGGAGCTCAAGCGTTTCGAG